TTTCTTCCTTTAGGTCTGTTTATAGTTGCTTTATATACTGTGGTTATATACTTACGTTAGGTGCATATATATCAATAAATGTTATGTCTTCTTGATGGATTGTCCTCTTTATCATTATACAATGTCCATCTCTGTCTCTTGTTATTGTTTTTGGCTTGAAGTCTATCTTGTCTAATATAAGTATGGCTACATGTGCTCTCTTTTGGTTGCCATTTTCTTGGCATATCATCTTCCATCCCTTTACTCTGAACCTATGTTTGTCTTTAGAGCTGAGAAAGGTCTCTGGAGGCAGCATTCTCTTGGGTCTTGTTTTTTAACCCCCCCAGCCACTCTGTGTCTTTTGATTGGTGAATTCAATCCATTTGCTTTTTTTTTTTTTTTAAAGATTTTATTGATTTTATTTTTTTCCCCCCAAAGCCCCAGTAGATAGTTGTATGCCATAGCTGCACATCCTTCTAGTCGCTGTATGTGGGACTCGGCCCCAGGATGGACGGAGAAGTGGTGCCTCGATGTGCACCTGGGATCCGAACCCAGGCCACCAGCATCACAGCGTGCGCACTTAACCACCAAGCCACAGGGCCGGCCTCAATCCATTTACTTTTAAGGTGATTATCAATATATGAGGACTTAATACTGCCATTTTATCTTTTGTTTTCTGCTTGCTCTGTATTTTCATTGTTTCTTTTCCCTGTGTTTCTGCCATTTCAGTTTGGTGGTTTTTGTTTCTCAGTTTCCTCTTTTTTGTGTGTGAGGAAGATTGGCCCTGAGCTAACATCCACTGCCAGTCTTCCTCTTTTTGCTTGAGGAAGATTTTCTCTGAGCTAACATCTATGCCAGTCTTCCTCCATTTTGTATATGGGATGCTGCCATAGCATGGCTTGATGAGCGGAGTGTAGGTCTGTGCCTGAGAGCTGAACCCGCGAACCCTGGGTTGCCTAAGCAGAGCACGTGAACTTAACCACCACACCACTGGGCTGGCCCCTCAGTTTCCTCTGTTTCATGACTCTGCTCTGAATTTTTGTTTTTTGGTTACCATGAGGATTGTATAAAAGATCTCATAGATGAGATAGTCCTTTTTCTGCTGATAGCATCTTATCTTCATATATCTAGGCAGTATCCATCCTCTTCCTCTTCCCCCTCTATGTTTTTGTTGTCACAAATTACCCCTTTTTGTATTGTTTTTTACCAAATTGAAGTGGCTATAGTTATTTTTAATGCTTTATTTCCCTTTAATCTCTTATGTTATAATTAAGTGTTTACTAACCTATTCTGATAGAGTTGCAATTTTCTGATTCTATCTACTTACCACCTTGCTTAAAGCTTTGCATATCTTTGTCTTTTTGTTTCATGTACAAGAGCTCTTTGCAAGATTTCTTGTAAGGCAGGTCTAGTGGCAATGAATTCTCTCAAGCTTTGGTTTGTCTGGGAAAGCTTTTATTTCTCCTTCATATTTGAAAGATAACTTTGCTGGATAGAGTATTCTTGACTGACAGTTTTTATCTTTCAATATTTTGAACATATCATTCCATGCTCTCCTGGCCTGTAGAGTTTCTGCTGAAAAATATGCTGATAGCCTAATGGGGATTTCTTTGTAGGGTTATTGTTTTATTCTCTCTGGCTGCCCTTAATATTCTTTCTTTGTCATTGACTTTTGACAGTTTTAATATAATGTGCCTTGGAGAAGGTCTTTTTGCACTGAGATAATTAGGTGTTCTATAAGCTTCATGTACTTGTATATCCAGTTCCTTCCCCAGGGTTGGAAAGTTCTCAGCTATTACTTCTTTAAATAAGCTCTCTGTTCCCTTCTCCCCCTCTTCTCCTTCTGCAATACCCATTATGCTTATGTTGCTTTTCCTAATTGAGTCAGATATTTCTCATAGAATTTCTCCATTTTAAAAAAAATCTTACTTCTCTCTTCTTCCGCCTGAATCATTTCTAGATTTCTATCTTCGAGCTTGCTAATTCTCTCTCCCATATGGTCTGCTCTATTTCCAATGCTTTCTACTTTATTCTTCATCTCGTTTATTGAGATTTTCAGCTCCAGAATTTCTGTTTGGTTCTTTTTTAGTGTTTCAATCTCTGAAGTACTCCTTCTGTTCATTAATTTTATTCTTGAGCTCATTGAACCATGTTTCTGAGTTTTCTTGTAGTTCATTGAGTTTCTTCATGACAGCTATTTTTGAATTCTCTATCAGTTAGATCACAATCTTTCATGACTTCAAGTTTGGTTTCTGGAGAATTGTCATTTTCCTTTTGTGATACTGTGTTACCATAGTTTTTCACTGTGCTTGACAAGTCGTTCCTCTGCCAGTGCATTTGTAGTAGCAAACACCTTTCTGATTTAGGTAAGAATTTGTTTACTTTGATTCTGAGCTGCTTCTGGTTGTATCTGAGGGCCTGCGCTTTCCACCCTCCACTGCCTCTGCCAAAGGTGTCATCAGCGTCTTCATTGTGCTGCTTGTGCCTCCAAGGTTGCTGGTGCCTTGCTGCTATGGTGTTGCTGCAGTTGTGGGCATCACCGCTGGGGTCACCGGGCTGGCAAGTGATTCTGCTGATTCTGGGTTGCCTGGGTTGCAGGTTCCCCCACTGTGGTGGGGGTGGGGGAGGGTACAGTGGGAGCCAGGGTCATGGGCACCTCCACTACATCCAGGTTTGTTGGGTCTGCAGGCACTGCTGCTGTGAGTTGGGGGTGCCACTGCAGCTTGAGGGACTGTGGTTGTGAGCTCCACTGTTGCTTTTACCAGGTTCTCCACAGCCTCAGGCACTGCTGCTGTGTGTGCTGCCTACACAGCTGCTCCTGGGTTTTCTGCAGGTGCTGGTACTGCCACTGCTGCAGGGGGCTGGGGTTGTAGGTGGCACTGACATTGACACTGCCATGGGGGAGGGGGTACCTAGGCCGCAGGTGCCACCGCGGTTCCTGGAGTGTCTAGTCTTGAGTGCCAGAGCGGTTCCTGGAACCTCAGGTCACAGGCACCACCGCTGCTGCTGGGGCACTAGGGTCTTGGATGCAGCCCCCACTCCTAGGAGGGCCAGGGTCAGAGGCACCACCACTGGGGGAGGGGGAGGGGACTGGGTCACAGGTACTGCCATGGCTCCTGGAGCCTCCGGTCTTGGGAGTTGCTGTCACTACTTCTTTGGTTCCATCGCCTCCACGAGGTCTAGTCCACCCACCTTCAGATGTATAGATGTATGGATCTCTCAGGCATTCTGGTGTGCTGTGCAGACAGTCCTTTGTTGGTCTGTGGAGGTCCTACTGGTTGTAACTTAGAGGGGAGAGATAAAGGGAGCAACTCACTTTGCCATGATGCTGACGTCACTACCCTCTTTTTCTATTTATGTTGACATGTAGTTAGCAGTAACAGGCAACTCTGGCAGCAGAGGTAAAATGGGGAATGGATTGAGTAGCTTTCTATTTCTTGGTCCAAGAGAGACTTTTTCTGATGGTCAATAATATAACATTTCTTTAATAAGTAATGTCTAGGTAGTGGGTGGGAGGAGTTATCCATTTCCTTCTGAATCTTTGACTTGCTGTTGTATCTGATGGGTCATCATCTTCAGCTCTTGTTCCCCTTTTTCCTTCATCCACCAAGCCTGCAAGGGACACCACTCCCTTTCAAGGTGACTTTATCTCTCAGAGTGATGTCTCTGGTCCTACTTACTTTCTAAACCTCTTCCTTTTGACCTCCCACTAGCCACTGCTCTGATCCACCAGGTCTCAGACCTATTTGCAGCATTTTGCCACTGTGGATAAGACCACAAGCAGTTTGATTTAACTGGAGTCCCAACTTGGGCGAGGACTGTGACAGAAGAAAAATCTGGAGGATTTGCAGGAGGTAGATCACAGAGGACCTTCTATGGATGCTTTTGCAATGATGTGAGCAAGCAATAAAGGGTTCTGAAGTAAAACAGGAGGGATGGAGACAAAGGAATTGCTTTAAGAGAGATTTAGAAGGAAGAACCAAGATCACTTGGTGACTGGCTTGATGTGGGAAAGAGGGAAGATATCTGAGTTTTGGGTTTGGGTTCCTGAATGAATAGATGGATGGTGGTGCTAATTCACTGAAAGAGGAACTCTGGAGGAGGTTTGGGGAAGAGCAAGGGAAGATAGGTGGAGTCTGAAGTACCCTTGTGAGAATGCCAAGGAACATTCTGGCTAGCGACACAGATCTGGGTGTTACTGGTATATAAGTAGTAGCTGAAGCCCAAGAATAGATGAAATCATCCAACAAGAGAGGACAGAATGGGAGAGAAAGAGAGATGAGGACAGAGATTTGGGGCCCAGCAACAATTAAGGAGTAGACAGAGCAGAAGTTTCACTGAAAAAGAAAGAATGAATTAGAGATGAGGAAAGCAGCAGAAAAGTTGGAGAGAATGGCTATCAAAAAGAAGACAGGATAAGAATAATTACTGCAATGGATTACGACATAAAATATTAAATGTATCATATTTATACTAAAAATAAAAATCTAGTTGCTGTTAGCGCATTCTTGGACATCAACTCACTATTTTGAAAACTGGTGAATAAAGAAGAAATAATCCATTTATTCTGCCTCTCCTATATAAACAATACCACTGGATAACTGGATGGGGGATGCTGCTCATATATAAGAATCCCAGCTAATAAATGAAGAATAATAACAAAATTGTATCCCCAGTGAACTAATGGAGCTAGGCATGAACATCAGAAAAAAAGAGAGAAAACGAGATATTATTGCCTCCTGATGGAAGAATACAACACCATGTATGAAGATGTCTTACTTAAAAAGGAAAATAATCACATATGCATCTGATCAAGTCTCCAGGTCCGTGGTTCTCAACCAGATGCAATTTTGCTCAGGGTGTGGGAGAGACATAGCTAGAGGGTCAGGGTGTGGGAGAGAGGATGGACAGTGGGGGTCAGGGTATGTGTGGGAGGCATGTGGGTCAGCGTAAGGGGGAGGGCTTTTTCTCCCTCATTCTGATGATTGAGGTCCCTGTATTAGCTTTACTTTTGCCTTTGAAAGGGGAAAAGTCACAATTTTTATTGGACATATCCCAGACTCAGTGTTATCCTGCCTCCTTGGATAAAAGACAGGAAAAGAGAGATGCTTTCCAGCTCTGGGCACACAGGCAAAGGGACACAAGTAGCCCATTTATGTTCAGGAAGATGTGCTAAGGCGGGCTTCAAGCTGGTCCTGGGCCCACATTGCAAAGAGTCAGGTGGGCAGACAGAGCCACTCAGAATATGGCAGAAGATCCCTGCTGTCCAGGGCTACGTCCTCAAGTGGGATCAGTGAGTCTGGGCAGGCAGGGTTAACTGGGGCGCCTGGGCCTGTGGAATTCACTGCGGAGGCCCCTGGGTCTGGGACAGAATTCTCTGCTCGAACTTGGTGTACTGTGGAAGGAGGGCCTCGTAGACCTGGAAGGGTGGAAAGAACAGTTTAGAATGGGGAGGGGGAGGTGCCTCTTACATCTTTTTGCAACTTGCAGTTTTAAAATTTTACATCCCATTTACTTGCAACTTAATTTTTTTGCTAGGCAAAAGAAAAGAAGTGTCAATTCACGAAACAGGAAATGCTAGTAGTTCTCAAACCTATAGTTTAAGATTTTTTTAAACGCCAATTATGACAAGAAACCAATTTTTGTTATTTAATCTACAAAGTTAAAAAAAAATCTGGTGAAGGTACCTGGAAATGGCTGTCTCATTGCACAGCTGATGGAAGTTGGTGGGCAACCCTTTTGGAAATCAACTTGACTTTATGTCTGTATTAAGAGGCTTGGAAATGCCCATTGCCTTTGACCCAGTTATTCTACTACTGCAAAGCTCTCCTAAGGAAATAATCCTACGTGTAGGGTGCCAGGCCCCTTCTTATTTTTTTTTTTTTGTGAGGAAGATCAGCCCTGAGCTAACATCTGTTGCCAATCCTCCTCTTTTTTGCCGAGGAAGATTGGCCCTGGGCTAACATCCGTGCCCATCTTCCTCTACTATATATGGGACGCTGCCACAGCATGGCTTGACAAGTGGTGCGTCAGTGCGCGCCTGGGATCCGGACCTGCAAACCCCGGGGCACTGAAGTGGAGCACGCACATTTAACTACTATGCCACCGGGCCGGCCCCAAAGGCCTTCTTACACAGCACTAAACATCAGACTCATAAGACTACCAAGGGCCACACCTTGGCCCTCAAAAGGATATCGTGGAGAAACATACCTGTTGGCACAGTGGCTACAGGTGCTCCTCTTCAATGGGAGACCACTGTAGTGGTCCCTACAGCAGTTTGCACAGGTGTCCAGGAAAGGGTCTCTTCACTTCCCTGCCTTTTCCCCTCCTTACCCCCCAGGTTACAGCTCAGGTGCAAGGAGATGAAATCCAGATCGTACAGGTGCAAGAACCACCTTGACTTTGAAACTTCATGTCCCACAGGAGTATCTCTTGTAACAACTCCATAGGCAAGAGACACGCCCATGAGAAGTCACTGCACTCAGGGAAGGCCTAAGTACGACTTCTCATCAGGTATTTATGGTTTTCCTACTCCAGATGCAGTTTTTCAATTAAAGGACATTTTTACATAAGCAATGTTGCCTATGACATTCCATTTTTATTAAGTCTCAAAGGAAACCTGGTTTAAAAAGCTAACCAAAGGTCAAATTCTCATGCAGAATAGGAAAAGGTTTTGTTAACCCTTTACCCACATAGGGTTAATTATAATAGTTGAAAAACTGGAAGCAACTACTCTTGAATGCTCAAGTAAATTATGTTTCATTTGCTAGAGAGAAAACTATGCAGTCATTAAAAATAATTTGTATACGCATTTTTAAGAATGTAAATACTTATGCTGTAATGTAGAATTTTAAAAGAAGTGGGCTACAAAATTATATATACAGTGTGCTGTGTAATAAACCAAAACTAAAAAACCAACAAGGGAAAAAAGACCAGAAATAAATACAACCCCACATTCTTACCCTTCATTCTATTTTTTTAAAGCTGTTTTTGCCTGTGGCTCTGTAAGCCTTGCCTAAGAAATGTAGGTGCACTTCAGGTGAGTGCATGTTGTCTTACAGACAAGATACACCTAAGACTGAGGGACTCGGATTTCCTTGGGACTCACAAACACCACTGGTAGCTCATGCCAATCCCATTGCTTCTTAATTTGGCTTAATTAGCTCCAACGCCAAGTACTTCAGTAACTGATTATGCAACTAGGGCCACTCTTGGTGCAGCTGGAGCGGCTGTCTGTGAATGTTGTCAGAGGACATAAGGTGGTTTTGATTTTTTCTCCAAGGAGGAAATTGCAACATTCAGCTGAGCCGAGAGGGAAAACACTCTTGCTGTTTGGAGTTTCCCCTTGAGCACAGCACTGCTGTAGGTGACATAGACAGAAAACAGAGGACGCTGCCCTGCTCTCAAGGAGTTTACAATCCAGTCCTCAAATAGGTCACTGATGCCAGCAATCACAGACTGTCACTGCTTGTAAGCTGGTGTTGAGAAGGATTCCGAGGTTACACTTGGGTGTCATGGTCAAGAGTTCCACAAGCTATGAGTGACTTTGGTCACGGGCAGGCCAGGGAGAGTGGCGGTACACAGAGTATTTGCTACCTGTAATGAGGCAGATGCAGCTAAAGCTAAAGTTGCCCTAAAGCTCTCCCCAACTACCTTTTTCCTTGCTGGCCAGCTTCCAGAGAGGATGAAAGAGCAGGACCCTCCCCAGCGTTTCCTACAGCCCAGGCTGACCATATGACCAAGTGGTAGTCTGTGGGGGAGTTGGGGAACAGACCAGTATGTCTCTCCCTGATAAGCAAGAAATGTGTGAAGACAGACTCTGCCCAATGCCACACTCTGACTCTCTCCTATGAATTCAGTTGTGGGGGACATGATGTTTGGAGCAGCCGCAGACATCCTGTGATTGTTTTGAGCACATCTAGAGCTACACTCTCCACTAGAGAAGCCAGAAGCCATACATGCCTTTGAGCACCTGAAATGTGACTAGTGCTATAAGCATAAAATGCACACCAGATTTCAAAAGCTTCATACAAAAAAAAAAAAAAGGAAAATATCACACTGGCAATTTTTCTTATTGATTACATGTTGAAATGACACTATTTTAGACATGTTGAATTAAATAAAATATATTATTAAAATTAGTCATTTATTTATTATTACTCTTTTAGAACATGAGACTACTAGAAAATTTAAAATGGGATATGTGGCTCTCATGATGTTCCCCTTGTCCACTACTGATCTGGAGAACTTCAGGGAACATGACCCAGAGCCCTGACATTGTCGAACCACTGAACCAACACCAGCAACCACCTTCAGACTTCCTGTTATGTAATAAAGCCATTATAGTCAAGGATTCTTTTTAAGCCTCACAATTAGGTTAAAAGGACAGATGTTGTCCCCACCTCACAGATGAAGAAACAGAGGTTCAGAGATGAGGAGTGCTGCTCAAGGTCACATGAATGTCACATCATGAGAGAGAGGCAGAATAAGAATCAGAACCCAAAGGCCCTTCATCGCAATGTAGGATCCTTCTGTTGCACTGAGTTGCCTCTTAAACATAAGGACACACAATAGAAAATAATAGAAGCTTGGGCATACCTGTGTGTGGGTTATCTGGTCACCCAGAAAGCATGAGCTTCTGCTTCCAAGATATGCTGGGAGACAATTCTCCATGGTGTTTCTATATGTCTGGTGACAGCCTTGATTCCAGACTATCTTTTCAAGGATGTTTGTAAAGCAAACAGCCTTGGAAGACAGAGATAGTGTTGCCCTGAGGGGCAGAGAGAAAATTTGTCTGCTGGCCAGGATAATAACGATAATGTCTCCTTTGGGGGCAAAGGTCGGGCAGGTTTACTTGCAGCTCCTTTATAAGGTTAGGGGTTTCCTAAGCTCGGGGTCCCTCAATTGTGACACAGACATAGTACGTGCACAGTATCTACCTGGGCCCACACCACATCACCCCATGCACTTCAGGGCCAAGGAAAACTGATGCAAGCATGAAGCTTACGCTGGCTGCTGTACCATGAGTAATAAAGCCCTCTGCGCTGCCCCTGCACCTGGGCTGCAAGAACCTTGTTCAAACAGCAACAGTGGCATGGTGGATGTGTGGCATACCACCCAGATTGCCCTTCAGAAATGAAGAACTTATTCTCCCAGCCCTCAGCTGACAGACAGCCCCCTTTAGGGATTGCTTCGGTTATAGAGAGCTGCCTTACCCCATCCTGGGGTGACCTACATGCAATAACTGATTGACATGGCACCTCATGGTATAAAGGCCTGGCCTCCTCACCCCAACTGGGTAAAACTCCAAAAGGGAATCCCAGCTTCAGAACTTCCTGTAGGATTGGCTGAGGGCTCAGCTGAGATTACAGTGCAGGTCACCTCCTCCTCTGCCCAGTGCTGCCTCCTCCTTTTTCCTTCCACAGAAGTAGATCCCAAGAGTGCTCCCTAATAAATCTCCTGCATCCTAATCGACATCTCAGAGTCTGCTTTCCAGGAAATCCAACCTGTAACAAGTCAGGTCTGACTTCATAGGGATTTCCTGGCCTGAATGACTGCACAGCCGTCTTGGATCCAGGCCTCAAATTTGAGTGCTAGAAACCCAGCATGTCTTGTGCTTAAGTGACAGAGTCTTTCAGTGGCTTCTGTAACCGGGTGAAATGGAAGGGCCCGCCCTGAGGCACATGGAGCAATGAAGATATGCCCAGCAATCTATCTTACCCCCAGGGCTGCAAAACCAGCAGGATCTGTGAATCTCAGTGGACAACCTGGCTTCTTTTCCCGTTTCCTTGACAATTTTTTAAAAAGTAGGATTTTCCCTTTAGTTGAGCACACCAACTTCAAGGTAGGTAACAAAGAAAAACTTACCTTTTAGAAAAAAGAACCTAGTTGGTTTTCACAATGCAAATGCTATGACCAAATTCTGATGGTCTCTCACCTGAGAAGCTCCTGGGGTTGGGGTAGCAGCTAATCTGGGGTTTGGGGCTAACTTCACAACCTCTGAAAAGGGCGCGTCTGTTTCAGCTGCAAGGCCTAGAAGGGAAGGCTCATCTCACACCAGTGCACGTTGCAAATGAGGACATCAGCTGGAAATGGCATTTTATCTCTGGGGTGATAAAATGTTCTAAAACTGGATTATGGTGATGGCTGAACAACTCAGTAAATTTACTAAAAATTACTGACTTGTACACCTAAAATGGGGTGATTTTTATGTCATATAAATTGTGCCTCAGTAAAATGTTAAAAAAAAAAAAAAAAGAGAGAGAAAAGAAAAGTTTCAAGTGCAGGCCTCTCTTCAGCAGAGCCTCGTCTGTCTTGCTCGCTGTGCCTGTCATAGGAGCAGCGGCTAACCCCTGACGTCCAACAGAAGGGGAGGGTCTGCCTGCCTCTCCTCCCTCGTGTGCTCCATTCTCCCCATGGCTCACCGCATTTGAGCCACCCTGGGCCTCTTTCAGTTCCTTCTGCCTCAGAGCCTTTCCACTGTGTGGAATGTTCTCTTTTCCTCCCTTCACATACCTATTCTCTTCTCCCCAGATAAGCTGCAGCTAAGAATATCACTTGTTCAGGAGGCTCCCTCACCCTCCACTCCGAAGCACCATCCGCTTTCCTCAGGGCACTTCTCACAATTCCGGCCACAGATTTGTTTAAGGTCCCTCCCTTGCTGAGCCAGAAGCTCTGTGAGGCCAGGGACTGGGTCTCCACTAGAGCCCTGGTGCCTAGCACAGTGCCTGCATACAGGACGCACTCAATAAATACCAAGCAAATGAGTGGCAGGGCTGGAAAAGAGGGAAGGTTGCCATAGGTGGGCAAGAAACAGTGAGAAATTTCTAGGCAATTTAAGGATTAGCAACTGATTGACAGGGAAATGCAACACCACCAAGAGCGAAGGAGGCCCCAATGAAGAGGCGAGGCCCAGTTTTCTAACCAAATGCTGGAGTATCCCAGCTCAGAGCTGTAGGGATGAAGGGATGGGGTGAGTGGTGGGGTGGCCAGCAAAGGGACTAATCAAAAGACATGGTCCCCTCTCCACTCATCCACACACTGGCTGCCTGTGAGATTCCTCCCTGGACCCAGCTGGAGAACAGATCTCCAAATAAAGTGGCTGATATGTCTTGGGGTGGGAACTGCTGTGCTAGGACTGGGCACAGGCTTTGGTTTTGGAAGGCAGAGCAGGGCAGTACCCCCAGGTAACCGCTGACAACTAAACAGGCACAGAAAAGGAAAAATAAAAAAACGCAATGCAGCAGAGCAGTGGAGTCCTTAAAGGGTAGTTGCTTTCCTGCCTGCTTACCCCAGGCTTCTCATGGGCAATAGTGAAGGCAGGAAGATTATGGGAATAGTGTTTCCAAAGTTCTGAGGAAAAGTATTTTGAACTTAGAGTCCTTTGCCCAGCCAAGGTAGCATCCTTTGGGAGGGAGAAACAAAGCCCTTGCTGGACATGTAAGGCCACAGAAAATTATCACCCACTGAATTATCTCTTAAAAACTTATTTAGGTTGTATATTCCAACAAAACTAGCATAGAAACGGAGAAGGAGAAAGAAACTGCAGGGACTTAAAAAAAAAAAGAAGAAAGAAAAACTCATAGGTAAGTGCAAATAAAAGCCAATATGATGTAAAGTTTAATTGAAAACACAACAGTCTGGAAATAAACTGCCCAATGATCTTGATGCAGGAGGTGGCATGAGGTGGGGTGAGGTGGATGGCATGGAGAGGGAGGGCAATAAAATTATGAGTAAGAGGTTAATTATTAAGAGAAGGCAATGGTCTGTGATTAATTCTCAATGGTGATAGAAAAATATAAGTTTAAATAAGTGTGTTAAAAAGTTAAGAGTAAACGTGAGAAGAATGGAACTGCTAGAGGGAAAAGACAAAGCCCTTGAGGTACACGGCCAGCCAGTGGAGCAGCCTCAAAGGGCAGACAACAGGGCAAACTGACCAAATGGGAGGAAGAACGCCCTTGTGGGCACGTGCTGCTCCCGCCAGGACTTGCCTACATGGGGGAGATTTCTTTATTATCCAGAGTTTCAGCGAGGCCTCCACCAGAGCAATGGTCCCCCACGGAGCTGTCCAGGGTCCTGGACTGCTTGGCTCTGAAGCCTTCACCTTTGTGTCAACTTCCTGCTCTTGATGAAAAGATGGCTCTGGACTTCCCACCTCTCCTGCCCACCAGCTGTCCAGATGTACGCCTGTGTGCCCTCAAGCATGCCCTGTGTCCTTTCTCAATGTCCCTGTGCTAAGCCTGACTCTGACTAGGCCTCATTCAGTTAGGACCCTGCCTCTCTTTTCCCACTTTAAGTAGAGAATGAAGGAACAGAGGGTTTGGGTTGGTTCTCACCTGCTGGGAGGGAGAAAAATGAAGCTAATGCCCCCAAAACTCCAATGTCCCTAAAGAATGGGAACATCCCAATCTCCCCTTTTACACTCCTCAGTCCAGCCAGTGCTCCAAGTTCTTTCAGAGACATCTGTCCCCCATCCATCGACCTACCATGGAAAGCTCGGTATGCAGAGCCCACGCAGGCTGAGTTGGCGGTGTCTATGACATACACCGGGGCGCCAAACACATCTGCAAGCACCTGGAAGGGACAGAGTTTCCTCAGAGGGAACAGGGACATGTTGGCATGCATTTTCCAGGCTCCTTCTTCGTATGTCTTCTGATGCCTTCCATTCCACCTCTACCGTCTTAAACGAAGTACACTTGGCCATGCCAGCCTGGTGATCATAGCGTCAGGATGACCTGGGAGAAGTCTCTAGTGGAGGGCCACAGCTCTCCAGGTTGTCCCTGCACTCTTTAACCATTTTATCAAAGACAAGGAGGAAGATTTAGGAAGCATGCTTAGCAAACGGTCAACGTGGAGATGGCTGGGTATCAGACTAATATTAACAAGCCCAAACGAACCCAAACTAACAAGGGCATGTTTTATAGGGATAAAAACAAAGTTTTCCATTTAGGTTCCAAAAATAATTTGCAAAAATTATAATGGAGGACATGTACTAAGAGGAGCTCACAAGGAAAAGACTTGAGAGTCTTAGTTGACCAGAGGTATTGTAGTACTAGATGCCGTTGATGCTCCATCCGGATCTCCTTCACTGGACGCGTGTGCACCCCTCCCCCAGATGCTGTGCGTATTGGCTGCTAATGGCTCACAGATGCCCCTCCTCAAAAGAATTGCTCTTGGCTGAATAAAAGCTGCCTCTCACAGGAGGTTATTCTCACCTCTCCCCAGGCCAGCGAGTTGGCTCCCTTACCCCAATGTGGAACCAAGCCTGTGGTATAGTTCATGTTCCAGATCTCCCCTTGGGATGGAGCTGAAGCCAACTCCAGCCAAAATCACATCCTTGCTTTTCTTTCTTCCCCTGCCCTACCTGTATCCCTTTCTCCTGGGAGCACTCTCCAATAAATCACTTACAGAAAAATTCCCATTTCAGGCTCTGCTTCTAGAGAATCTTACCTAAGACAGGTATATTACAAATCAACAGCTTATGCAGTTACTCAAACAGCTAAGGCAGCGTCAGGCTACATCCACAAATGCTCAGTACCCCAATAAGACACTGACACCCCACGATGTGACAGCCTGATTGCCAGACATATGCAGGTTGATTCCACTTTGGGTCACAGATTTCTAGCATAACGGAGGACCAGAAAGACAGTGACAAAGTCTGGCAACTGTATTACAAGAGGAATGGTTGGGAAAATCAGAGATGTTTACATTGGAAGGGAGAAACCTTGAGGCAGACAAGAACACTAGCATTAGATGTCAGAAGGTTTGCCATGTGGAAGGACAGGCACTTTCTGTGTGACCCCAGAGGCCAGTGCTGGTATCAGAGAGTGGAGTTATACATGGCAGTGGACTTCACCTGAGTATAAGAGGGAATCTGCTCACAGTGTGAGCTGCAAGGCAACAGAGCTGGCTTCCGGGAGAGTATGAGCTGTGAGGCCCCCACCCCTGCAGGAGTGGGGACAGAGGCAGTCCTTATCACTGAGTGTCTGGCTCTTAGAAGTAATAGGCACAAAGGAGGCCCTAGTGCAGGGCCTGCTACAAGCATTTACCTGTAAGATGTCTCTGTTGTGAGATGCCCCTCCAGTGGCCAAAATCTTTGTCTTGGGCACTGCAAGGAAAAAAGAAAAAAAACCAATAGCTGTGACAATTCCCTCAAGGCAGAAAAGGCTGTTTTCCAGAGTTCTTCAGCCATGGAGGGCTTGTGTTGGACCCATGCCTCTTGCTTATCACACAGGACTGGAGGAGAAATTCAAAGCTGGCTCTGTCCATGCAGGCTTGTCACATGTAATTTGCTTGTGAAGCTGCTGCTCCACCCACCTCTTACCGTCTTCACTTTTTAAAAACCATTAAACAACAAAATCTCTCAACAAACCAGGAACAGAAGGGAACTTACTTAAATTGATAAAGGCCATATATCCAAAATTTACAATAAACATCATTCTTAAGAGAAACATTTAGAAGCATTGTCTTTAAGACTGATGTGCCTCCCAGACCCCAAAAATGGCCTTCAGGGCCGGCCCGGTGGTGTAGCGGTTAAGTGTGCACACTCTGCTTTGGCGGCCCAGGGTTCGCAGGTTCAGATCCCGGGCATGCACCAACGCACCGCTCATCAAGTCATGCTGCGGTGGCATCCCATATAAAGTAGAGGAAGATGGGCACGGATGTTAGCCCAGGCCCAATCTTCCTCAGCAACAAAAAAGAGGAGGGCTGGCATCAGATGTTAGCTCAGGGCTAATGTTACTCACCAAAAAAAAAAAAAAAAAAAAAGGCCTCTAAATGACCCCTGCTTCCTGATAGTCATACCTTCATGTAGTTCCCTCTGACATTCAGTTGGGCTAACTCAAGACCAGTATGATATTGCATAAATGATGGAGTGTGATTTCCAAGACTAGGTCATAAAAGAGATTGCGGCTTCCATCTTGCTCTGTAGTAGATCACTCTATCTTGGACCACTCACTTTGGGGGCAGCTAACTGCCATGTCATGAAGACAATGAAGACACTCAAGTGGTCCTGTGGAGAGGTCTACAAGGTGAGGAACTGAGGCCTCCTGTTAATAGCCATGTGAACTGGCCACCTTGGAAGCAGATCTTACAGCCTTAGTCAAGCCCTCAGATGACATATTACCCTCAACCTCAAGAGAGACCTCAGTCAGAACCACTGAGCTATGCTAATCCCAAATTCTTGACCCACAGAAACTGTGTAAGATAATAAATGTTCACCGTTGTTTTAAGCCACTAAGTTTTAAGGTAATTTGTTACACAGCAATACAATAATACTAGGAACAAAATAAAGATTCTTACTATCCAATACACTATTCCATAGTACTAGTTATACTAGTCAGTGCTATAAGACAAGAAGAATAAATAAAATGTGTAAGGATTGAAAGAAAAGATAAAACTATTATCATTTACAGACAATAGGCCATCTACTCAGAAAAATTAAAAATAGGCAAACTATTAAAAGTTTAATAAGCTTGCCAGATACAAAATCAACTTACAATAATCAATGGCATTTCTAGCAATAATCAACTAGCAAATATAATAGAAAACAAATTACCATTCACAATGGCAACCAGAAAGGTAATGTAGCCAGGAAATACCTTAGCAAAGAACTCAAAGGTCTTTGAATTGAATTCAAAAGTTTTTGAATTCAAAAAATTCAATTTTTTCAAAAGAAAAAATCGAAACTATTATTAAAGTACAAAAAATAATATCTAAATAAATTAAAAGATATTCGACAGTCTTGGATGGGTATGAATGAACATATAAAAGTGTCAATTTTTTCAAATTAATTTATAAATTCAATGCAACCTAAATAAAAATTCCAACTGGATTTTTTTAAGGAACTGAACGAATTATTATAAAATATTGGGAAAATAAAGACCCATAAACAGCTAAGACAATATTAAAAAAAGAAAAGTAAGGAGGGGTGAATTGTTATATTAGATATTAAGACACTGTTATGGGCTGAATTGTGTCCCTCAAAAATTCATATGTTGAAGTTCTAATCCCCAGTACCTCAGAATGTGACTGTATTTGGAGAGAAAGACAGATACCTCTTTAAAGAGGTAATTAATTTAAAATGAGGTCATTAGGGTGGGCTCTAATCCAATATGGCTGGTGTCCTCATAAGAAGAGTAAATTAGGACACACAGAGAGCAAACCATGTGAGGACACAGAGAGAAGATAGGCATCTACAAGCCAAGGAGTGAGGCCTCAGGAGAAACCAACCTTGCTGATACCTTGATCTCAGACTTTTAGCCTCCAGGAGTGTGAGAAAATAAATTTCTGTTGTTCAATCCACCCAGTCTGTGGTACTTTGTTATGCAGCCCTAGCCAACTAACATAGACTAAAAAGCCATAACAGGACAGTTTGTCCCAAGAACAGACCAATAAACCAATGGAGCGAAAAAGGGGGTATAGAGAGAGACCCATGTATATACAGGAACTTGATAATGATGAGGAGGGCACAACAAGTAATGGGGAAAAACAGAACTGGGTCACCATGTGGAAAAACATTAAACTGGATCCCAATTTTCACCATTCACAAAGGGGGACTCAAGAGGAATCAAAGTCCTAAATGTGGAAGTTACACTAACAGTAGAAAACAGAAAACAAAATTTCTGTGACACTGGGATAGAGGAAAACCTCTTAAATAATATCTCGAAAGCATAAAATTGAAGCTGAAAAATTGATGAATTTAATTTAATAAAAATTCTGATCAATTGCTGACACTATAAATAAGGTTAACAGATGAATGACAGAAGATGCACAACACAGAAAACTGACAAGGATCTAATATTCGAAGTGTACAATAAACTCCTGCAAATCAGTAAGAAAAAGATAGGAAATCCAATATGGGAAAAATGGGAAAGGATATAAATAGCCAAATCACAGAGGAAAAAATCAAAGTTACAAAGAGCTAGTCAAACTCATTATTAATGAAAGAAATACAAATTAAACCAACATTGAGATACCAGTTTACACCCATCGGATTAGCAAAAGATTCAAAGGTGCTTGATGCTAAGTGTTGATGGGGATGTGGGAACCCTCATGCATTACTGCTGAGAGTAAACTAATGACTTCAGAATCGCAAGACTCTCAGCCTCTTCTCTCCACTCTCTTACATTGAGCAGCAGCAGCATTTGACCTCAAGCTAAAGACCTGCCCCCTAGTAAAAGTGAGCTACTACCTGGGGAGGGTGCCTGGAGGGTCCCGAGAGAGAAATGGAACTTGAAGTCACACTGAACTGCCATGGCAGACACGGAAAGACACAGACATAGAAGGTAGTTCCACCCGTCAGAGAAATAAGCTGGGTTCATCTTCAAACCAGAACAAAATCCTCCTGATTTTGGTATTTGGAGAGACTCTGTAGGAGGACTCCAGCTTAAAAGCTTGTACAGTGCTCACAGGCCTCAAGTTACATCTGTCTGTTGTCACCCATCCACTTACGTAGCCTCTCCAGGGAGCCCTCCCGTTGGGGCAGGTGGGGGAGGCCGACTGGGAGAAGAGACCTTGCACCTGAAAAGGACAGCTAGGCTTGCTGTCTATACTGGAGACCGTTATTCACTCAGTACTATAAACTCACAGCCAAGATAACTGAGAAAAACCAACTGTGAAAGAGAAGGATCAATGTGAACAAACAGAATAGCTTAGAAGAAAAAGAAATCAGGGAACAAAAGAGTAAATTTGAAAAAATTCTAATATTTATCCTCAGATATAGAGGTAATTCTAATATTTATCCTCAGATGTATAGAGTTCAATAAAACAAGAATAAACCATTATGAAAAAGAACCAGGACACAAGAAATAACAATATACGATTTCAAAAAAATATATAAATAAATAGAAAGGCTAAATAGTAGAATAAACATGGCAAATCTCATTAATAACGTGAAAGATACAATCCAGGAAATTCCCTAAACAATGAGACAGAATTAAGTTAGAAGACACAGCAATCACTCTCCATGTAACATTTATTCATTCTACAAAGACTAAGGAGAGCCCAGCTATATCCTAGAAGTAGCTTAAGCACTGGCAGTAGGTGGTTTAACAAGACAGCTGAGATTCTTGCTCTCAGACAGCTCGTATTCGAGCTGGGGAGTGACAGACAATAAACACACAGATAAATTAACAAAATATGTTGTGATAGTGACAAGTTCTATGATGAAATAAAGCAGAGTGAAAATAGGACCAGAGGGCCAACATCTGGTTTAATACAGGGTTTCTCAACCTCGGTATATGACTGACATTTTTGGTTGGATAATTCTTTGTCGTGGAGGATTGTCCTGTGCATTGTAGCATGTTTAACAGCACCCCTGGCCTCTACCCACCAGATGCCAATAGCTCTCCCCACTTATGACAACCAAAAATGTCTCCAAATATTGTCAAATATCCTCTGGGGGGAAAAATTGCCACTGTTGAAAACCACAAATCTGTATGAATTCTAGAACAGAGAAAATGGAGGGGAAGAAACAATCAAAGAAATAACGTAATAAATTTCCCCAGATGAAAGAGGCCAACGAGCACTCAGCACAATGAATGAATAAGGCCTATGCCTAGATATTAATTGAGAAATTTTAGAATTCTAAGGAGAAAGAGAAGATTCTAGAAGATTCTGTATAGAAAAAAATACCATTCTGACTGGCATCAGGCTTCTCATTGGCAATACTAAAAGAAAACAATGGAACATTATTTTCAAAGTTCTGAAATAACATGATTTTTCAACTCAGAAGTCCATATACTGTAAAACTAGCATTTAAGTGTGAAGGCAAAATAAAAATATTTTCAGGGGCCAGCCCGGTGGCGTAGTGGTTAAGTGCGGGTGCTCCGCTGCTGGCGGCCCAGGTTTGGATCCCGGGCGTGCACCAAGGCACCGCTTGTCAAGCCATGCTGTGGCGGCGTCCCATATAAAGTAGAGGAAGATGGGCACAGATGTTAGCCCAAGGCCAGTCTTCCTCGGCAAAAAGAGGAGGATTGGCATGGATGTTAGCTCAGGGCTGATCTTCCTCACAAAATAAATAAATAAATAAATAAATAAATAAATAAATAAATAAATAAATAAATAATATATTTTCATACAGAGACCATTCCTCCACACACCCCCATCTCTACAGGAAAGAAAGAGTCAAGGATGTCCTGAGGCAAAGATGAAATACAAATCCAAAAAAAGTTAGATGTATGATATAATAAGCAGTAGTGATCTAAGAAACCAGCCAAATGTATAATTTAAATAATTACTGATGTATAATGCACACAAATCAGTAATATTGTGGAACCAGAAAATGGGAGGTAAAGAAAGGAGAGAAGAGAGGGAACATGATGTGTTCTTCTGGTGAAGAATATAATTACCGAACAGAATATAAATTCTAAATGTTGATCAAAAACTATACACTTTAGTATTAATGTCAAAATTTTAAGAGTAATTACTAGAAAAAGACGTAGAACCTTTAGGCTCAGCTACCAACAACGGAGATGCCTTCAGGGGCCAGGAGGACAGTGTAACTGAGAGGACCAGGCTAGTGTGTGACAATACAGGGTGATGACGTGGCACCTGAATGAGCAGGCCCTACCTAAAGGTATTTGATTTAAAAAATTAAACATTATGCTAGCCAAACACAACAAGTTCTAGAAATAGAATCTGTACTCAGGTTGTTGGTTTACTATCAATGCCTGTTAAGAGGTTAAGAGATGAAATACAGAAAAATCAGCCAAGGACATTTACAAGATTGTTCATCGCAGCATTGTTCATAATAGTGACCCGGAAAGACCAAATGTATATCACAGAGGAATGGATAAATAAATCATGGTATAATCATGTGATGGAATACCATACTGCCATGAGAGTTAACACCTAATAGCCACACTAATTCTCATGGATGAACTCATAAACATAACACTGAGTTATAGAAGCAAATCACATAAGAACACATACAGTATAATTCCATATATCATGAAGTTCAGACACAGGTAAACAAAACAAGGTAATTTTAGGGATGCAAACATAGCTAGCAAAACCATAAAGAACCTCAGGGGAATGACAATACAAAAACCAGGAGAGAAATTACCTCTAGGATCAGATGGGGTTGCAATTGAAGAGGATACACGGGATGATTCTAAGGGTCTGGCAATGATCTATTCCTTAACCAGAGTGCTCAATAAACAGGTGTTTGATTTATTAGTATGTTTTCCAATTGGCTGTATGATGCATATACTTGATGGTATGAATGATATTTTTCACAACAAAAAACAATAAACCCCAGTCTAATAAAAGACATAGAGTTCCACTTCCAGTTAAAATGGAGATGGTCAAGAAAGAGCATCACTTGTGCTGTTAACAGTGAGAGAATGCTGAATCAACAAACATATTTTTATTGAAAGCTATCAAAAAGTTGTGAATGTAATGAAGTCTAAATAAATTAAATTCTGGGATGAGATGAGCCCTTAAGTGCTGACTCACCCAGGTAGTATAAGACAGGTGAAGTAGTAAGTCCCTAAAGGCAGTCAACTTTGTCAGGATAGAGAGAAAACTGTCAAATATGTAACAACCGTGTTTGGGCTGGTGTGGTGGACTGGATCCTGGAGGTACCCCAAACGCAGAGCTAGTCCTCCCTACCCACCAACTCTCCCCATGGCTGGCTACTGTGTAAGTGGTGACGCAGAGGCTGGGGGCCGGGCCGGAAAGCGGAGGGAGACCTCTGGAATCTCACAGTGCTTAGATCCGTCTATTTCTGGATTGCATGACTCTTACAACAAAAAAGTAGTTGTTTATTACATGAATATTTAAAAACAAATAAATGTTTTAAGCCCCTGTGGCCGCCTCTCAGCCTGCTCCATCTTGACCCTCGGCCATTAAGAAAGTGTCTAGACTGGAAAAGGGGGAGGAATGTCAGCCTCCTAAGGAAACAATCCAGGACATGGGAGGATGTTCTAGTGTGATTCCATGTCGGAAAATCAAAGACATCCTCCATGCCCAACTGCAGGGAAAGTCAGCTGGGCGTGATGTAAGGCACCACGAAGAAGGCTTGAGGAACTTTTGGGTCTGTATGTACAAAGGAAATAGGACTACAGTTATATAAAAATAAGCTTGTAAAGGAGACTGGAACTCCCAGACAGTACTAGCTGTTGGGAAGAAGGGCTGGGATTATAAGTACAGGTAGTTTTCTTTTCTTTATTTTCCAAACTTGCTATTATAAGGTTTTATTGCTTTTACAAATCAACCTAAACAAAATATACATAGAAACACAAGCTGAAAGGAACCATGGCTCTAGCCCAGCCCAGCTGGTGCATGTGTCTGATGGTGTATGTGTCTGATGGTGTCTAAACATCGAGAGAGCGATCACTCCTTACATACAGCAGAGGTAGCCCAGTGGTTAAGAATCCAGAGTCTGGGGCTGGACTGGCTTGGTTCGGAAGCTCTACCAGCCTCCAGCAAGTGACTTAACACACTGGGTCTCGGTTTCCTACTTTGTGAAGCAGGAGTAATACCAGTACCTACCTCAGAGGCCCTGTCGTCAATAAGGATGAGGTGCTTAGGAACCAGGCAGGGTACACAGTAGACGCTCAATAAATGTTAGCAGCTATTATTATCATGATCATCAGTCTTACTTCAAGCTGGCAAAACAGGTTTGATTCCACTTATCCGCTTGCTAAGAGGATAAGTAACTTTATGCTGTTTTGCATGAGAACTGCTTTAGAGGCTGGGAATGACAACATAATCACATGACCCCGCCCAAGCCCAGGAGGGCCTCTGCTCTCACTGCCTCTCCCCACACGCTGGGCTGGCGGCTGGAGGACCCTTGGCACCAGGCACTCAGGGCCAACTTCAGCACCATCCCTGCCCTGCTCACCCGACTGCATTTCTCAGGGAACTCTGAAGTCTTTGGAGACCTTTGGGGAATTTTTTTTTACACTTTGAGTGGTGGGATGGAGAAGAATGGGAATGTTTATAACGATTATTTAATTTATTTTAAAATTTTTATTGAACACACATACATCCTGAAAAACGTACATACACATCATAAGCTGACAGCTTGACAAATTTTCACAAGCTAAAGAAACACACCTGTGTAACCCAGGAAACAGAACATCACCAGCACCCCAGAGTCCTCTCAGGCCCCCTCCTGAAAGGCAACTGCTAACTATCCTGACTCCCAACAACAGCAAACAGTTTTGTCAGTTCTTGAATTTGACGTACACGGAATCTTGCCATATGCACTTTTGCATCTGGCTCAGAGTTACATTTGTAAGATTGACCCATTTTGTTGTGTGTGGTTGAGGCTGGTTCGTTTTCATGTCTGTGTAGTATCATGTTGCGTGAATATCCCACAACGCATTTATGCTGTCTACTATCAATGGGCCTTGGATTGTTCCCAGTGTGGGGCCACTAAGCACAATGCCATGATGAATGTTTTCCTGCACATCTTTAGAGGACACGTGTACACTTTCTGTTACGCATTCCCTGAGTGGTGAGATCGCCGGGTAGCTGTGCATGCAGCTTCAGCACCTGCTGCCTAACAGGTTTTCAGAAAGGTTTACCTAACGCTTATTTTTGTAGTATCCTTTTACTTGGTTGGTTCAAAGACATGGAACATATACTACATAGAACCTGGATTGTCCAGGAGGAGGCCCTCAAGCAAAGAGGCTTCAGGGTTTTCTCCTTTCTCTACTAAACAACAGCTGCTGCCCAGAGGGACAAATACACCTTAGAAACCTGGACTCCAACCTTCCTGCAAACCCGCCAGATCACTCCAATGCCACCTGTAAGAGGAACTCACTGACCTCCTAAAGCTGCCCCTCCCAGAGCTCAAGTTATTAGAAATCCCCTTCTCCCCTTAAGTGCCTCCCCGGCCCTGGTTCTGCCCGCTCTGTTCCAGACCTCTCAGTCTTGACAGTGGCTCTACATCCCCATTCTTCCCTGTCCATGCTGAAATGTCTAGAACGGTGCCACAAAGGTAGATGGGGCCATGGCCAAGGTGCAGTCATGGCCCCAGACCAGATCCTTCCCACCTACACTGCCCATGTCCTCAGGGTCCAGAGCTTGGGACACAGTCTGCAGGTTGGAGGTTAGGGTTACGGAAAGACGTCTAAGCCCTACAGTTCTAGGCCAGGAGATCAGGCTACTGCGGACAGAGCAGAGAAGCAGAAACAACCTGCTCTTGGTCTATGCCTATCTATAATTGTCCACTAAGTCACTTTCTCACCCCACCACCAGGGACCAGGCTCCACTGCCCTCCTGCATGGGGCCCCATAATACGGCCTCAACAGATAGTGCCCCGCTAGGCCTGGCCTGAAGGTTGAGAAGGGTGTCAAGCATCTCAAGGGTTAGGGCCCCTACTCCAGCAGCTCACTTACTGACTCGATATCCCAGGCCCTCGGCATGAATCCTCTTGGCCATGAATTGTCCTTCGATCAGTGCTCGAATCTCCACATCCCAGGGGAATGCTGACACCTGTCTCCAGGAGAAAGTGGGTACAAAGTGAAGAACTCTCATTGTCCATTCATGCATGTGTCTGTGTGTGTGTATTTGTGTGTGTTGTCTTTTTAAACAACAGCCCAGATTCGGAACTCATGACTCAGGCCTCCAGTGGAGCTCATGCATAGTAAGGCTCTTGAACCACTAACTGCCTGTCACACACACACACACACACACACACACACGACTCACACACACATGCTCACAGCCTCACGTGTGTATCACTTTGAGGAGTCAGAGCATCAGAGAGCTCAATCTCAGGCTGCTGAGGGTTCAAGTTCTGCCTCTGCCATTCAGCTCTGCAACCTTGAACAAGTTACCTAAATCTTGCTGAGCCTCATTTTCTTTGTTAACAAAACTGAGGTGATAGGAGTACCTGTGTTTTAGGGTTGTTATAATGTTCGAATCAGACAACAGAGCCTGGTCTATATCGTGGACACTCACTAAGTGAGAGCCAGGAGCTTATGCTGAGAACTCCCAACCATGGAGCATCCTTCAAGATAACACTGATGGGCGTCAACTCTAGCCTTGCCTGTTTCACCAGCCTGAGACCCCTGATAGATGCTGCCACTCCCTCCCTCACGAACTACTCCACCTGACTCACCTACTTTCACTTCCTCAACCTGTTCCCTCTGCCTGGAAGTCTTCCCACTCTTCCCGCAGTGGAATCCTTCTCATCCTTCAAGTCTCGACCTCAAGGCCTCCTCCTCAGGGATGCTGTACCTGGTCACCCCATCTGGGGCAAGTCCCCCCAGCCCACCCCCTGCTTTCTCTGTGGTGCTTTTTTCTTTTCCTTCCTGGCCGCGTCACACATCATAATCGTATATGTGTTCGTTCACTTGTTTACTATCCGTCTCCCTCCTAGACAATGGGCTCCATGGAGCAGGGACCACGTGTGTCTTGCTCTCCTTTGTGTCCCCAGTGCCTGGCACCAATCATACGTATCTGTTGATCGAATGACTGAATGAAGAAAACTACCTTCTCCTTGACAAACCTAGATGGATTTACACAAAAGAGAACAGGCATATCTTCTATGACAACAGAAACCAAATTGATCCCCCATCAGAAGACTGAGATGAACCCCCTATACTTTATATAAAGCTTTCCATTTATAATCCAACATGTAATGTCATCATCAGCCACATAATCAAACGCCAACTCTAACTGGTACAGTCACTAGACAGAGAGACTTACTGAAGCTCTCCAGACATTTACTAGGGTTGGAAACGTCTCTCAGGTCCAATCCAAAACGTGATGATGACTTTCTGGTAACTATCTCACAGAAAAGTCAATTCAAAGCAGCAAGTACGGACCAAGTCCACCCTGGGAAAGGCCACATGGTGGAGGGGAAAGCAAACAGCAGCTTTAGGGCCAGAGAAGACAGGGTTTGACCTCCCTCCACCACCTAGGCCCTCGTGACTTGGGTGCATTATTTAGCCTCTTTGGGCCTCAATTTCTCCATCTATTAAAAGGATGATAATACCAACCTCACAGAGTTGCTCTGAGAAGTAAGTGAGGAAGATACAGAAAACCACCAGCAGAACGCCTGGAACTAAACAGCACTCAACAAATACCGGCAAATGTTAGTGCCTCCCGTCCCAGAGGCTCTATCAATCAGGAAGAAATAAATTCATCTGGAGATCTGTGAGTTCTCAGGAGGTGGAGGATAAAGCTCGCCAAGGAAACAGGCTCTGTGACACTCAGTGACAGTCAGTGTGAGACATGTTAGCTCAGGGAGGATCCTTAGGTGTTCTGACTCCTCTTTATGAGAAAAGATGGCGTCTGTCTCAGATCCTGCTGACTCCCCACCATCTAAAATGCACCCTGGCATGTCAAAAATGTTTGTTATATCAATGGAAGAGTGAATAAATGAGATCCCTAAAAGTAGCATAATTTGATAGGTTATTGTTAAATTTAATCGTCAAAACTTGAGCCAATGTAGCTCCAACACCAACAACACACGTACCTCATGGTTTTCTGCACTAAACCTATGACGCCCAATAATTTCAGGGGTGATCTCCATTACGTCAAAATAAAAACCTGAAACAAGACCAGGAAGAGATTAGCTGCCAGGGGTCAAAAACAAAAGATAAGCTTCTCAAAGACTTAGAAAAGAGCAGGGTGAAATGACGCCATATCCCTGTCCCCTGAGCCCCTCTTGTCCCCCAGATGAGACCTGTGACTATTCTCAGCTCCTCTCCAGCAGGACAGAGGGGAACCTGAAAGCCTAGGCCAGATTTTCCTAGAGAAGAACTCTTCCTAACCTCACCCGGCAGCCCAGGCCAGGAGGCAGCCGCCAAACTAACCCTAGCACACCAGCAAAGGTTTGATCAAGGGAAGCACATCCCCTCCCTGCTCAGAAGGCCTGCCCCAGACGCTGGGCACTTGTCCCAACAGAACTCTGTGTCTGGGACAGAAAGTTGCATACGGATTTTTTGTTTTTATATGGATTCACCAGGGTAGAGTAGGCACTGTGGCTGCCATCTCTGATGCTGTCACCAGGGGCTTCGAGGGTGACAGAAGATGCAGCTCTGGCCTGATCTTCCACTCAGAGCATGGAGCAGCAGCCAAGAGCAGCCTCATGGCCCGACCTCACTCAGATCATGGGGCCTCACACTAGTTCGTAAGGCCCTTGGAGCAGAAGTATAGACAGACAGGGCTCCCCTTGGCTTCTCCATGGCCCTCACCCCCTACTCATGGGGGCCCAGGCCCTGTCCCTCCCACCAGCAGCTGCTGCCCCTTCACAGGCCCAGGCATCACCAAACAGCCTACCCAGGTTTCCGCCATTCCCCATCTCTGTGGACTGCAGTGCCTTAGAGAACTCGCTCCAGGAACGGGAAGCAGACTCATCGCGGATCTTCTCTCTCATGAGGGAGCCATTCTTAAAGCTGCAGAAGTGCACACAACCCTGAGAGAGGGACCCAGTGCTTGCTGATTGGACCCACGTGTTTCAGTGAGGAGTCGCAAGTAGAGGGGCTGCAGGTCAGGCTGGACCACAACCCCCAGCCAGTGCATGGCAGGGATCTGAGGTTCTCCCTCGGAGATCAGGCCCGGCACACATCCCAAGGAGTCACTGGGAAATGCACTTGTCTTGGGCTCTGTTTACAGAGGAGGTTGCCAAAAAGGACCCCAGGAAGAGACAGGGAGCTGTGGTTTCTACACCTTGTACTACCTGGACAATGGAGGGGGGATGGCTGTATTTACTAGATCTACTTATGCTCCAATGGTTCCTGGGGCTTAGAGGCTCAGAAACCTCCCTCCGTAGCTTCTAGCAGGTCTCCAAAGGCCTGTGGTCAGGACACAGAGCACATCCCTTCCGTGAGAACTGTCAGGAAGCAGGATGTCCCTACTACCACTTCTTGAAGGTCTACCACGAGCCAGACACGTCATAACAACACTATAAAGTAAACCTCTTATTCTCTCAATTTTATGAGCAAAGTGTGGCTCAGAGACGCTACAGGGCCCACCCCAGGCCACAGAGGATATAGGCGTTGGGGTCGGGATTTGAATCCAGGTTTAGGGGGAATTCCAGGTCCTGGGTTCTTCCTCACTCAGCTCTGCTGTCAGCAAGACCCAATGAGTCTGTGGGGTCTCAGCTGCTGACAAGACCCTGACTAGTAGAACGACGAGGGGTGCTCAGGATGGTGCCATACTTGCCTGCACCTCCTCCCCCCACCTCGCCTACCAGAGGAGCGCCATGTAGTGCTGGGTGTCAACTGGGTTGCAGAAGATGTGGCCTTCCAGGGCAGGTGTGGGCTCCTGGAGCCAGAGAAATAGGGTGTCGCTGGTGCCTAGGCTGACCTGGGGAGAGATGGGCAGAGGTGAGGCCTCAGTCCCTGCCTAGCCCCTGACCCTCATCACTTCCCTCCTCATGCTGCAGACCTCAGATTAAATGCCACTTCCTCAGAGAAAACTCTTCTGACCCGCCCACACCAGATGAGTCCAAAGTCAGCTCCCGGGATCCAGGCTCTCATGGATCCTGCGGGCTGATTTTTTCAAACTTGCCACAACTGCATCTAACTAATGGTTTGGGTGACAAGTGGTTCCCCAAATGACTTTCCCACTAGACCCAGCAGGTCTTTATTCATCCGGGGAGCTCAGAGTCTTCTGGCCAAGAGTCTGATCCCTCTGCCACTGTGCCTACCAAGACTGGCCACTGTCAAGGCAGGCAGGGGATCTGCTCACTCAGCAAAGGCAACTCACCTTCTAAGAGAGGAGATGTGGGCAGGTCTTGGGGCCTCGGTCTCCCTATCCCCTCCCTCAGCTACCTTTTGGGACCAGCAGACCCTCTGATAGGCAGCAAAGATGCTGCCGAGACCCAGCACTCATGTCCCCCAGGGCAGAGAGAGCTGACTCTGCCTCTCTAGGAGTGTGAGAAGTTACCTTACCGCAATGTCACCTTCCTCCAGCCTCATGCCTGCCAGCGATGCTGAGAATGGGAAGGGAGCCTCTGGTTAGCTGGAGGTCACATGGAAGCCACAAAGCAAACCACCCCTCTGTCATCCCCAAGATGGGAGCACAGCCCCCACGTCTCACCCCCACACACATGCTAGGGTAGAGGCAGGAACAGGGTGAGCTCCAAGGGAAGGCGCTAAGGGAAGCTCCCAGGGAAGGAGGCCCCAAGGGAAGCTCCCAGGGGTGAGAAGGTAGAGTCTCTGGGGTCAGGGGCTCTGATTTGGGCTGGGAAGCCTCTCCTAAAGGGGTCCAAACTCCCCACCCACAGTCAGAGGCTGCCACAAGTGCAGAGAACCAAGGCGGCCAAGTCAAAACACCAGGATGCACATGGCAGAGAAAGACAAAGGCGAGGCAGGAGTGAGGGGCTGTCTTCCACCCCAGTGGAATGGAAGGGACGAAGTTCTGTTGGCTGTCTGTCCCCCTTAGATGTGAGGCCCACAACAGCGATCTTTATCCGCCTTGTTCACTGAGGTCCTCTGGAACTGAAGGAAGGCCTTAGTAGGTAGCACGCAGTAGGTGCTCACTGAACGTCAAGTGAATGAATGAATGAGTGAGCAGAAGGAGAAACGTGGGGAAGAACAGGTGTACTCAAGCATTGCTGGCGAGGTACAATCAGCGGTGTGTGTCACAGCCTTGGATCCAGGAATCCTACCTCTGGTAATTATCCTAGAAGGACAAGGGACAAGACAGGATGTGCATCTCAACACTGTTTGTATTGTCCAAACATGGAAGCCATGCTAACCTCCAACCACAGGAGACTGGAAGAATAAATGCTGAGACAAGTGAACCCTAGAAAGCCATTAAAATGATGTTGCACGACAATATTGCCCAAGTTGGAATAAAATATGTTTATTTATGAGCATAGAAAGAAAGTTGGAAGGACAGCCATCGAAATTCTAACTGTGGTTGTTTCTGGGTTAAGGATTACGGATGATTTTTACATTCTTCCTTTGGTTTGTCAGCATTTAAAATTGTTTTCTGCAGTGAAGTATCCCTTGTGAATAAGAAAAAAGCATGATGAGCCTTTGTTAGTCTGTTTGCTTGTTATTGTTGTTCTAACGAAGGAGCAACTAATGTATTACTTAAGGCAGCAGTAAACTAAAGGTCAGACTTAGGGAGAGACTGGCTGAAGGCTAGCCACCTGGTATGTCCAATATTCAGCCAACATTCAGCCTGAAACCAAAGTCTAAGAGGAAGGATTAGATAGCCGCTTCTTTGTCATTCTCACTCAAACATGCCCAGAAGCTCACACTTCAGTGGTTAAAAAGCAGGCCCATTATTCTCCCTGACATTCTTCTAGTTGATAAAGTAGGTATAAGAATACACATTTTCCTAATGAGATTCCATGAAGTTATTTTCATTTTGAAAGGAAGACAGATGTGGCCCACAAAGTGGAGAAGTTTCCTGAATCGGTGATTGTACACTGACTATTCTTTTCTGAGGGAGGCTAGACCTCCCAGCCATTAGGGCTGACAGGAACTGGTGCCTGAGCGTCCCCTGGGAGCCTGGGGCACCAGAACATGCACATTGCGGGCCAGAGCCTCTCAAAGCAGGCACCCAGGGGACAGAGCAACAGGCTTCCTATCTCACTGCTGCTGAAATCTGGCCACTTATCCAGCAGCCTCCATCTCCCTTTCACCTCTGGATCAGGATCACTAGGGTCCCTTCCCCAAAACCTGCTCTGTTTGGCTTTGTGCTTTGACAACAGGGATCCGTGTGAGAGTCTATGGAAACTGCTCAGGGACAGGGAGGGCCCTTGTCTGGCTCCTGGGGGTTCCCTCCAGATGCCAGAGCCCGGCCATCCCAAGAGGGATGGGTCACAGCCAGGACACTGATGCAACCACAAGTGTGGCAGGGAAGTCCCAACTGTGCCCTCATGCCCAAAGCAGACAGGACCAAAGCAGACCTAGGAGCACCACAAGTGTTATTCGCAGTGGTGGCAGTGACAGTAGAAGCAGCAGCTTAAATGTTTTTTCCTGGTCACAAAGGTATACATAGACAATGCAGAAAATATGGAACATAATAATAATCATTATCATCATAATTATGAAGATCATAATCAAAATTGATTGAACTGATGATCAAAATCAATCATCATAATTATGATGGATGAGTTTTGTTTTTTTTTTTGTGAGGAAGATCAGCCCTGTGCTAACATCTGCCAATCCTCCTCTTTTTTTTTTGCTGAGGAACACTGGCCCTGGGCTAACCTCCATGCCCATCCTCCTCCACTTTATATGGGATGCCGCCACAGCATGGCTTGCCAAGCGGTGCGTCCATGCGCAACGAGGATCCCATCCGGTGAACCCCAGGGCCGCCGCAGCAGAGCGCGTGCACTTAACTGCTTGCGCCACTGGGCCGGCCCCCTGATGGATGAGTTTTAACAAACACCTTCAGCTCCACTTCTAGGCAGACAACTCCCCTCCCAGACACGTGCATCTCTCTCTTATTTATTGATTTATTTTTGACGTTCACGTCCTTCTCATCTGTACAACCAATAGGAGGTAAGTACAGGGAGGCTGATGGGTGTGGAAAGTGGAAGAAAGGCTGAAGTCAGAAAATAACTGAAAATAAATGTTTTTAAAAGGAGTTGGAAATAGAAGAAATAGAGCCCCACACTCCCTGACCACAGAGAGAAGCAGGAGTGGTTCTCAGAAGGGAAGAGACTCCCCGTGACAGTAGACCCGGACTCCACCCATGCAGCAGCCCAAATCCTCTTACATGCAGTAGGAACGGCTACCTAGGAGGGCAATTTAGGGTAGAGTTGCCAGATAAAATATAGGACGCTCAGTGAAATCTGAACATCAGAGAAACAATATTTGGGACATACTTACACTGAAAAATCATTTGTTGTTATCTGAAATTAAGAATATTGCACAGGACACACTTATACTACATAATTACGCGTTGTTCCTCTGGAATTCAAATTTCACTGGGTGTCCTGTATTTGTAGTTACTATATCTGGCAACCCTGACCAGGGGCTCGCTAGGAAAAGGGCTGCAGAGTGGGGTCCAGGGGCAGCAGTCTGGGGGTACCAGCGTGGCCACCTGGCCTTTCTTCAGAGACCTGATGGCCCCTCCAGGCTTGAGCCTCAGGAAGCCCTGGAGGAGAAGAGGAGGAGGAAGAGAAGAGCCCAGGGGAGGAGAGAAGGTGTGTGGATGAGGAATGTCATACCTATAGATCAAATGACCAGGGTGGAGACTCAAAACTGTTCTAGAAGAAGGGATGGAGGAACTGAGGTGTTTAGCTTGGAAGAGAAGAGGCAGTTGAGGAGGGGTGGGCACAACTGCCTTCCTCAGTCGCTGATCAGTTTTCACCTGGGGGGGCGGCCCTGAGTGGCTCCTGAGGGCAGAGTCAGGGCCAAGGTGGGGCAGGTACAAGGAGTCTGATTTCAGGCCAGCAGTGGGGCAGGCAGCCAGCGTGGGAGGGGTCCCACCACAGAAGGGCTTACCAAGAGGCCGGATGGGCGTTCTGAAATGTCCAGCATGGACCAAGTCGGGTTGCTTGGGGAATGAAATCCCCGAGGTACTCACCTGGGTTGTCCCCAGTGAAGGCCACCACTTTGCATCCTGGAGGAAATCCATAGCGCTGGACATAGTAGGAAGAAATGGCTCCCTGAGGAGAAAAAGCAAGCACGCTCTGCTGAGGCAAATCCCCCTACTCGGCACAGCTGGCCACACCTCAGGCCATGGGAATGTTACCAGCTCCAGGCCACTGAGCCTGGAGTCGCATCACTCTCCGTCGCAACCCAGGGGTGTCCCTCCTGTTCACAAGATGCCAGAAGAGCCCGGCACAGGTTTGGAACCACGAACATGAGGCCATCCCACCGCCTCAAAGACCACTTGATTTTGAAATTCAAGGCAGCTAAAACAAACCAATCCCCAACTTGTATTTGCTTTGCAACCTCCAAATCCTGGATATAGCATTAAAAATAAACACATTAGTAACAAGAGGACATCAGTAAGCAAACTCATGGAAGCAGACAATGCCTGACACGCAGGCTCTATCAGCCCAGCAATCAGATTAAGAGTAATGGGACACGCAAGTGCAGAGGTCACCGTTCTAAGGAAAATAAACCAAAAAAAGGCAGTGTGGGGGAGGGGACTCCAGGGCCACAGAGCAAACTTTTCTTCCCTTAAGGACGCCCTTCCTCAAGCTCTGCGCTGGCCTCCCTGCACACGCTGGATGATGAGGGTGTGGCTTTGAGATTCTGTTCACGGTGGCAAAGGCTGTTTTCAGCATGTCAGTGTTGATCTCAGAAAAGTGCATCTGTGGCCAGGCCTCGAGATAGCCCAGTCATCCTCACAGCCCACCCCTCCCAGCTCCACGACTCTCCCCAGGCCTCAGGGACCCTTCCTGCTTCATAGCTAACACTCTGTCCCACCCCAGATTTCTGGTTGTTCTGGCTGTGTGGCATGTGCTCCCCGCCAAAAGGCCCTGAGAGCAGGGTCCAGGTCTCTCTCTACTCCATTCTCCCCACAGAACAGCCAAGAACTTAGCCTGTCACTGAGGAGAAACCAGGGCGTTCACAGCCAGCGTCTATTCCGATGGGAGTGCCACACTCATGGTTAAATGTTTTTAATATTACCGTGGGACCAGGTACTATCTTAAGCACTTTAAATGCACGAATTCTTTTATTCTGTACAATAGCCCCAGGAGACAGAAAGTATTACTACTCCCATTGTTCCAGGAACAATGGAAATGACAAGGAAACTGAGGCACAGACTAAAGTCACAGAGCCGGTTAGTGGTAGAGCCAGGATTCCATACCAGGCAGTCTGGCACCAGGGCCTGTGCTCTGCCAGGCTCACTGGCATTTCTTTTTATTTTCTCCAGATTGCCTGCTTCAAGCCTCAGTGGTAGTCCCTAGCCCTAAAATTTTAACATTCTGTCCATTTTTTCCTAAAGTGCGCAATCACTTTAGGACTTACGCCGTCAATTTTTTTTCCTATTCTAAAAAATTTCTAGTGGAATCTTCCAAAGTCCCCCCCACTGCCATGAGGCAGTAATCTATATACGTACCTGAGTGCCTACTAAGTGCAAGGCACTGATCCAGACCCTTTGCTTTGACCATGTCAAACACTTGTCTTATACTAAACTGAAAATCCCATGTGTGTACGCCTGTGTGTAAATGAATGAATGAGTGTGAGTATGAGAGTGTGTGTGCGTGTGTACTGCACTGCTTCCCTAATAGCTGCCGACATCACCAGAAAGGGACCTACCACAACTGAGCAGGATGGTACTGGGGAGCCAAGCTTTTCCTCTAAATGAGGTGCGCAGGCACCGAGGCAAGCCTGCGACCAGACCTTGTCCTGGATCTGCAACAAATTCATTCCAGAACCTAAGGAAGGAAGAAAACAAGAAATATAAACAGGACCTTTTGTAGAAATGCACAAATCTAGCCGAGAACAGATCATTCTCCCACAGCAAACTTATACCTGGAGCTCTTTCCCAATGGAATGTATACAACATGACTGGGTCATTCTGAAACCAGAGAACCAGAGGCCAGCAGGGCCTTTGGAAACACACGGCCCCACCACCTCCTCCAAATACGCCTCACAGGCTCAGACATCACAGCTGATCTGGAAACCTGCTGCTCTAAGGCCTGGCCGCGGGAGGGGAACTACGAGCAATATGTTGACTGGGAACTGCTCTTCATGGCCCCTGGGGTTCGAGGTGTCTACTCGGAGGCAGCCCTGGTGCTGACAGGGGTCAGCCCTCAGGGACTGCCCAATCACATCTAACTTTCCAAGGAAAGCTCTCGGACTCCTCTAAACTTCCTCATGCTCGTCACTAAGATCAGCTCGCTACGTCATTCCTACAATGATCTACTTCTCCCGAGGTTTCCTGAGGATGGGACAGAGGAGAGAACCCAGAGCACATGTGGGGAGGGCCCTCCTCCTCCTCCACCGGGCCAAGGTGGAAGCAGACAGAGCTGGGCTGGGAGGTCGATGGAGTCACTGCCCATGTGAGGAGGCTAGACAGCTGGTAAATTAGGAGGTGACTTCTCAGGTGAGAGTGAGGGAAGCGGAGTGGAGGGCCCAGCTGAGGTTGAAGAACACAAACCTCTGGAATGCCTACAGTGGTGGGACTTTCCCCAGCAGAGCTTAACAGCCCCGGGGTAGACACAGGCGATTCCAGGTTTAGGGTGCTGCTGGTCTGAGTTCTACGGAGCTAGCTCTAGGAAGCTTGGGGACCACTCCTTAGTCACCTTATTTTCTCCCCCTGAAAACTAGAATAATTCTTGGCATACAACAGCACTCAAAAACTTCGGGCGAATTCCCAGGAGGCTCAGAGCATTCCAAGACTCTTTTCTGAAGCAACGTTCACAGGTCTGGGCTCTTGCTCTGCACTCTCCTCTCCTCTGCTGTTCACAATCCTTTTAGTCTAGGCTTATCCAAGAGTTCCTTCAGCAACCTCCTCCCAGCTTTCCTTCCTTATTGGGATCATTCACATTTATTTTTTGACAAGGTTTTGATCCCAGAAGCTCACAACTCTCATGAGTTCCTCAAAAGTGAACAAAAACTTCAATAAATAACTCCTTGTGGGAGCCAGGCTCCAAGACGGCCCCTGCTCACCCCCAAGTCCTGGTGTTCACCCTTGTGAGGTCCCTGCCTCCCTGTATTTAGGTAGGTCTGTGTGACCAGTAGGATGGAGCAGAAGTGATGGTATGTCACCTTCAAGATGAGGGTGTAAAAGACTCTGCAGGCTCTGCTTAGCCACTCTCTCCTTCTCTCATCCCTCACTTGGGGGAAACCCAGCTGCACTGACATTAATAGTCTTATGAGAGGCCCACATGGTGAGAAACTGAGGCATCTGGCTCTGGAAGTGGATCCTCAAGCCTCAGTCAAGCCTTTAGATGACCGCAGCCCCGGCTGCCAGCTCGCCTGTCAACTCATGAGAGATCCTGAGCCAGAAGCACCCAGCTAAGCTGCTCCCTGATTACTGACCTTCAGAAATTCTGTGAAATAATGAACATCTGTGGTCTTCAGCTGCTAAGTGTTGGGGGCATTTGTGACACAGCACAAGATAACTAATACTGAGGCCGGCCCGGTGGCGCAAGCGGTTAAGTGCACGTGCTCCGCTGCGGCAGCCCGGGGTTCGCCGGTTCGGATCCCGGGTGTGCACCGACGCACTGCTTGTTAAGTCATGCTGTGGTGGCGTCCCATATAAAGTAGAGGAAGATGGGTATGGATGTTAGCCCAGGGCCAGTCTTCCTCAGCAAAAAAGAGGAGGATTGGCATTGGATGTTAGCTCAGGGCTGGTCTTCCTCACACACACACACACACAAAAAAGATAACTAATACACTCCCTTTCTGTGTGTAACAGATGATAGGACTGAAAGATTGGCACCCACCCAGGGTAGATGAGGCTCACACTGCTCGCACACCCGCCCACTTTGCAGGCACACACCCAGGACTCTGAAGGCTTACCATCACTGTAGTCAATCGGGGAGTAAGACCCAAGGAATAGGGAAGCAGCAAAACTACTGACCAAAGAAATTCTCTGTAAAAGAAAGAAATGCAGTGAGATACGACTCACTTCCACACACTGCATGTTAACTTCTAAGATTAAAAAGGCACTTAATTTCAACATGAGCTGATCATTTTCTAATTATTCAGAGAACTGAATACTTCTGACATACACACACAACATGAGAAGAGTTTTAAATTGGGGAAGGAAGTGGAAACCTGGAGCAAGATGCCCCAGTAATGGCAGTGACTGAGTATCCCAGACAAGAGCATTTTGAGCAGCTGGAATACCAAGAACCAACTCCCTGGGAGAGCACCTCACTCTGCAGTTTCTGACGGGCCATAAAACTGTCAAGTTCAACAAAGACAAAAAACAACAAGCCCTGTGAAAACACCAGGCTTAGGGAAGTGGGTTTTCCACCCGGACTCCATATGCCGGGGAGCACGGTGCCCTGACTTCCTTCCTCCACTTCTGCGGTCTTTATAACCAGTCACAAAGGAAGTGGGATGTGTGACCACAGGACTCAGAACTGACAAGGACACTCTCGGGGGTTCAGAACAAGTGTAAGTGAAACCTGGCCCATCAGAAGACACAGACCCCACACATGAGGCGAGGAATTGATAATGGATTTCAAATGTCGGCCTGAAGGTCTGTGCTTCCACATGGGAATCGTGGCCCTTGGACAGGGGAGAGAATGCCCTCACGTCCTGTCCCCTTCAGGTCACCTTTGTTCCACACACAGAATTCGGAGTGAGTTTTTCATTGCCCCTGCCACCCAAAACCGACATTAAGGGCTAATGCTGCAGAGCAATCTGGAACCTTGAATCATTCAATAATAAACTGCATGTTAACTTCTAAGATTAAAAAGGCACTTAGCTTCAGCATGAGCTGATCATTTTCTAATTATTCAGAGATGAAAATCACCAGCCAGGGTGTCAAGCTGCTTCTCAGGCAGCATTAAGGGCTGGCTTTCAGCAACTGCAGATCAAGGAAGGAATCTGGGTGTCTGGGATGCAGGCTCTGGCTGAAGGGCCACAGCTGGGGACACATCTTTCCAGGTTTCCACGCTTCCAAAGAAAACAATGACCCCACACCAACCAAGTGCCTGGTCACCATGTGCATTAACCATACAGGAAACTGAGTGGACAGAGCCTAAAGGGCAGCCAGCTCTCCCTCTCAGGTGGTCCCAGGAAGACACCAGTCCCCACTGCTCCCACCCTGATCCTGACCTCCACCCCTTCTGGACAGGAGAGCCCCCGACTTCTCTTTCCCACAATTCCATTCTTTCCCTCCTCTTTGGAAATAGCCTAACAACGAGAAAAAAGCAAATTGAATATATCGTTTTTTGTTTTTTGTGAGGAAGATTGGCCCTGAGCTAACATCTGCCAATCCTCCTCTTTTTGCTGAGGAAGACTGGCCCTGGGCTAACATCCATGCCCATCTTCCTCCACTTTATATGGGACACTGCCACAGCATGGCTTGACAAGCTGTGCATTGGTGCGCACCTAGGATCCGAACCGGTGAACCCCGGGCCACCACAGCAGAGCACGCACACTTAACCACTTGCGCCACCGGGCCAGCCCCGAATATATCGTTTTTAAGGTCTGCTAATCACTGTTTTTAGCCAATGTACACGAGATGTATTTATGCTAAAGGTAAGTATTATAAAAGGAATTCAACTGTGACTTTCAATCAAATAGGAATGTTTAACCAACCTCTGTGTGTGAGTAGGCCTCAGGGTTCTGCTGGTAAATCTTTGCGATTTGGTTTCCTGTAAAACGCTGGAAAAAGAGTGAAGATTCTAAAAAACCCAAATCCTAAGTGGAATGATCAACTCCATAAAGTGAGTTTAGTGTGGCATGCTCTAGATATTGGTTAATATAATGAAAGCTTTTAAAAAGCCTCAAATGTGGAAATGTTTGCTATCTGCCGAACACTCTGAGTGAATAAGCCCTGCTCCTCACACAGCGTGGTCGGTGACTGACCAAGGGCACCCGTGCAGGCGACTCAAGTACTTTCCCCACCCACATTCTTTTCACTTCAGGTGGCCCAAGTAGGGTTGGCCCTATCCCCAAACCCGCCACTCCAGTGAGGGTCGCATGACCCAAGCTGGGCCAATTGTAGCCACCCCTGGGACTGTGGCTGAAGCCAGCAGGAAAGAGACACTCTTTTCTTTTAACTTTGCCGGGAGCTGCACTAAGTGTCTTACATGCATTGACTCCTTTCAGCTTCAAAACTACCCAAAATGTAAGTCCTATTTTTATTCCCAGGTTAGAGAGGCTGAAACCGAGGTGCCATCATTACCCCCATACATAGCAGCTCGATATGAGGAGCACAGCCGTGTTCACACCTCGGCTCTGACCTGGGGACATGCTGGAGGAGGCCTGCCCTTGCTCAACGGGCAGCACAGGGAGGCAGGATGACCTTGATCAGAATCAGGGACCAGAGTGCCCAGTCAAGGCTCCACACAGCTTCATGTGATCCTTATGGGGGCAGGTCACCAGCTGTCCTCCCAGACACCCAGGGAGAAGGGCCCAGAGCCAGCAACCAGACCTTTCTCCCCGGACCAGCCTCAGTCCCCAGCTCGTGGTGGCCGCTGCCCACCTCATAGGCGCGGGACCCGGTGAGGCAGCTGAGAGCCTGGGCCCCACCCACAGCGGCCTCCAGATGGCGGCACTGGGCTGTGGTGCTGGAGTCCATCCACACTGGGCAGTCACTGATGGAGAAACAGGCCTGGAGAGAAGGGACAAAGGCACAGGCTTGAGCTCTGCCTGCTGATTCTGGGGGCCACCCCAACGCTGGCAGTGACACTGCCCATCACAGCAGGTGTGAGCACCTCTTCTCTGGATGTGACCTTGGAAGACCCATGGACAAGCTCTGCATGCCCAAACCTGGCCTGGCCCAGTGGGATCTCTCCCCAGAAAGCTCAAGGTTGAAGGTCCTGGTGAGGGTGCCTGAGCACTGCAGGTGACACAGAGATGGGCAGGGAAGGACGACGGCTGCAGCAAAGGGCAGCTCTGCCGGGGCATCTAGAGCCCAGGAGAAAAGGAGAGACCAGAGCCTGGCTTCCCTGCATCACCAGGAGGCATCATGTCCTGGGGAGAGATTCCTGAGGGCGGAACCAGCCAGAGTCATGCCGGGCAGGAGGGGACCCATGTAATGAGGGCTGTTAGCCCTGTCTAGAAACCAGGTACATCCATCGCAGGGAGGCAGGGCAGACCATGCTCACAGGACTGCTGCCCAAGCAACCTGCCTACACCCTTGACAATGTGCAAAAGCCCCAGACTTCAGGGCCCACAGGGCTCAGGGCCCTTCTCCCCACTCTACAAAATTTCTTTGACTCCTGCAACATGCCCACAGTTACCTGCAGCTGTTCACGTAACGGGAGGTCTGGTGACAGGCTTGTCAGCACCTGGCTGGCCCCAGTCTTCCAGTATACACTTCCATGTTGCTGTCAAGGGAAAACCCAAGCACATGCTCATGTGGCCACACAGCGGTGTCACAGCCTCCTGCAGACCCAGAAAGACCCCAGGCCACAGGCCAAAGAACTGGGCTCCAAGCCCACCGGTACCACTTCTTAGTCACAGAGCTCATCGCCCTTATGAGACTTGGTTTTCATTTCTATAAAATGGGGAGGAATTCTGCTCTGTCTACCTCAAAACTTGTAGGAAGGGTCCAAGAAAGAATTATTGGTCTGGATTTTGGTGCCTTTGTAAAACTGTATTTAAATTTATTGCTCATAATATTACCTGAAATGCACTCATTCAGTCACTTATTCATTCATTCAACAAACATTTATTTAGCACCCAGATCATGCCAGGCATGGGACAGATGAATAAGGTAGTATTGTCCTTATGCTGCAGGATACTGGAGTTGAGTCAGGGAAAAAGACATAAACGTATAATTATAAAACCCTGGAGGTGCAGTGACAGGGCTGTGGGAACACAGAGGAGGGGCATTGAGCCAGCTGGGAGTACAGATGGGTAGAGGTGGACGTGATATTTAGCAAAAGATCCCAGAATTGAGTGTGTGGATGCTCCATGCGGAGAGTAACCACAGGTGAAAGAGCCTGGCAGGTGCAGGGAAGGGTGGCATTCTAAGCAGCAGGCCTGAGGCTGGGGCAGGAGGTAGGTGATGGGGCTGGAGGGTGAGGTGGCAGTCTGAGCACCAGGGCCTTGACATCCATGCTTAGAAGGTTGGGGTTTATATTGAGATGGTGGGAACTCTGGATTAGCAGAGGAATGACGTGGCCAGGGATGAATATATGAAAAAGCCTGTGGGAGTCATGGCGAAGTAGGCTGGAGGCAGGGAGGCCAAAGCAGAGGCCCAGAGGAAATGATGGGTACTAGGCCTGGGGCAACAGAGGCGGAGTTGGAGAAGACTTGGTAGATTCAAGAGTCATGTACAAATCAACGTGGGGACCCCCTGGATGGACGCGAGGGTGGGAAGATGGAGGAGTCAAGGATGACGCTTGGGTTGTGGCCCTGGGTGGATTGGGAGAATTGCCCGAGAAAGGGAAGCAGAGGAAGACAAGATTTGGGAGGAGACAGAGTGCTCAGTCTAGGACATGATAAGTTTGAGGTGTTCATGGGACACCTGGCCATGGGGGTGGGCAGACACCTAGGAGGGAGAGGGTGTCCAGGCCCAGGGTTCAGGTGAGAGAAGCAGATAAGATCCCCCAGGGAATCTGTTCAGTTTAACAAGGACAGAAGTAACAAATTCCTGTTAGGTCAGGGGGAAGAAGAGGCATCTCCGGAAAAATTAGCAAGCGCTCTCTAACAAGGATGTGAAAACGCACTAATCCAGCATGGAGCAAAGTGATTTGGAGGATGAGACTGACTTGAGTCCTAACTCCCCCTCGTAGCAGCCATGTGACCTTGGGCAAGCGATGTCACCTCTCTGTGCTTCAGTTTCCCCATGTAAATGGCAAGGATAATAAAAACAGTAGCTAAAACTTAAGTAAGGTCTTTTATGTACTAAGCACTATTCTATGTATTTAACACTCACATTGATCCTATGGCAGATGAGGGTATGGAGGCACCAAAAAGCTGGATGACAAGCCCCCCCTGGTCACTGCTTGTAAATGGCAGAGCTCGGGATCAAACCTGGGCAGCATACTTTGAACCCCTGTGCTAACCTCTCCACACTACCACCCTGTAGAATCATTATAAGGATTCAGTTAGATAGTGCAAAGCTGGCATACACTAAGCGCTCAGTCAACATTCTTTGTTATTATTATTACTAATATCTCTACTACTAAAACTGCTAATCATTATTATTATGATTTCTGACTTTGCTTTTATTTCCAGGGAAGAGAAAAGCAATTTTAGTGCCCCCAAACAGTCATAATAAATTCACATCAAATGCTTCCTCCACCCACTTAGAGGACCTCTAGCCAGTCCCTCCTCACCCAGTGTCCTATTTTGTACAATGCTTAATCGTAAGAACTGTCTCAGATCTTTTTGCAATAAGCCAAGCTATACATCCTCCAAGGGAAAACAGCCACAGGGATTTTTACTAACAACAAAATGTGTGCAGTGGCTTTCAAGACTGAGCACTTTCCCTCTAGGGGAGCCATCCTCTCGGCACCCACACCACTACCCAAGACAGCCTCCCTCACGTGGTAGACGGAGGCTGCTGCAAACACACCTGGCCTGCCCCAGACAAGGCGAGGACTTGAGAGAAGTCGAAGCCTGAAGCCTTCATCTTCTCCAAGATGACATCCAAAGCCTGGGAAGAAAAACAGGATCCACCATGACTGTACTGAACCACCGAATCAGGCACACAAGCCTCAAAATGGAAACGTAAGTGCTTGCCATTACAGCAGAGATGATGAAGAGAGAATTGATGTCTCGGGATTTGTAAACACTAGAATACATTAATTAAACAGCATTGATATTTGATTGATACCTGCATTGATACCAGGCAGGTATCAATCAAATGAAAAAGTGAACTATGCTAAATATATTTTAAATAAATGGACTCATAAACCATCAATCCTCAAATTTTGCTCTTCCAATTTGTGACTTCCAAGCACTCAGGAAGAACAAAAACAAGGTAGCTCAAATTTTGGTTTCTTTTACTTGTATTTTCAACCCACCACATTAGAGACATGACTTCATTGCAATGGAGAAGTGAAGAGCAAAGCAGAGGGCTCCCATCAGAACAGGGCACCAGGCCTAGACTCCCTGTGTCCAGGAGTGTAGGGCTGGAGGGAATAGGTAGAGGCAGTGGCCATTAGTGTCAACCCCCTGGTCCACCCTCCACCATCTGGTTGGAATCTTCTTTCTAACAAGACCTCATAGGTGGGATGGATGGTGCTGCCCAACAGAGCTTGACATTTCCTCTAAGATTTCAAGGCAGGAATTAGAGTCACCCAGGCTGGGTTTTCCTTGAGGGTAGAGAAGCCATTGGAGCTTTGGCTTGACCCCGCCATCCCCACCCTACACTGGGAGGGCTCATTTCACAACCCTGGCTGTGGCTGCCAACTTGGCCCTGCTGCCAAACCTCAAGCGAGGAGTGGGGCACAGCTGGAGCAGGGATTGGCAAAGCTAGAACAGGTCCAGTTCTGAGGGGTTGCTCAGGATCAGAAATCACCCTGAGCCCAACCCCAAGCCTAGCTCTCTATCCACTTGCTGTCTCACCAAGTTAAGGCCTTGGCCTATCAGAAGCACTTGACATCATCACTGGGACCTCTAGACACCAACTCTTGCCTGTTACCCCCATCCCTGCCACCACTGCCCCTTGGTCTAGCTCAGCTCTCTGAGTACATTCTGGCCAGCCTGTCTGGTGGAAATTCATCCTTTACCCCAGTCCTCCAGTATGAGTTAGGGTCAGGCTGAGAAAAGAGAAATCATACTAGTTATCTTAACAGAAAGAATTTAGTACAGGGAGTTGGTTAAACAGGTATTGAAGGACTGGAAAAGTTTTCGGCAGACACATTAAGTGCTGCTTTTGGCTGGCCTCTAGTTTGAGGGTCCTGAGTCCCCCGTGGCATATGAGGCAGCCTCTGGCCCTATCACGCCTGTCTGTGCTGTCCACACCCCTGGTCCTGTGGTCCCCTAGGTCACCCAGATTTGACAACAGGCACCTTCCTTTCTCATTGGTCCTGAGCAGGTAGGCCTGGCTTCAGATTGATCTGAGCCTAAATGGTCAGGTCGTAAGCCGCCATTCTGAGGGCGTCTGCCCCTGAGCTAAAGGGTCTGAGGGCTGAGGACTAAGACCCCCAGGGCTGTCTTTGGATCTCAGGGTACAAAAGTGGCCACAGGGCCTGACTGCAGAGTGTTTGGAAAAGGTTTGCTCTGTGGTATTTTAAAGAGGGTTACCAGCAGGACTTTCCAGCCACTATGGCTCAGGACCTGGAAGCCCTTTGTGAATCTTCTCAGCTCAGGAGTACTGACACCAGCTAAGGCCGAGTCTGGCCCTAGGAACCATGTAGACTCCATTTCCCCATGAGGACCTGGTCTCAACAGATGTTCTCATGAGCTACCACCTTTGGGCTTCCTAGAAAATTGCCAGGTCTGCCTGTGAGATGGGCTGGGAACAGGAGAGGGACAGGAATCCCTGTGCTTACCTGAACCCACATCAGGACTGGAGAAGTCACTGTCAGCCCATCCTCGTGAACATGAACTCCACCCTGAGTCCTACAAGGAGAACAAGAGAGAATGTGGAACAGAGCCTCAGGCAGGCTGAGCATGGCAAAGCCAGTAGGTGCACAGCGGTGGTAGATCCTGGATACCTCCAATGGAAGGAGAAATGCCCCCTACCCCAACCTCGAGCAGGAACTCTAGATTGAACAGGCACGAGTGCTGGGTGAGAGGGAAAGAGAAGGCATGGAAATTGCCCAGAGGTGGCAATTCTCAGACAGCACTAGCAAAAACAAGCCTCTAAATATGAGGGGTCACCCTAGAAGGAAGCACAGTGTCATTTGGTTCAGTGGCCAGGAAAGGACTTGGAGAGTGCAGGCTGGATTAGAAGCCCTCCCACATCCATTGGGTTTAGAGAGGTAGAAGAGGTGTGGCTACACAGATGTGCTGTGTCTGTGGGAAAAGTTCTTAGCTATCAGATCAGGGAATCCTTGGATTGCAAGCCCTGGAAGGTTACCTGGACCCCTCTCCCTACCCTCCTCATTCCTACAAGACCCTCATGCAAACAGCTGATTTGATAAAATCTAACCCTTTCAACTATGAGTTTAAAAAAACCAGGTTCAGAATCCACACCAAGACAGTATTCGATAACCATGCGACCCAGCCATTCTACTCCTAAGTATCTAGCCAAGAGAAATGAAAGTGTAAGTCCATAGAAAGATATATACACAAATGCTCATAGCAGCCTTATTTGTAATAACAAAAAACTGGAGTCAACTCAGGTGTCCCTAAGCAGGTAAACAGATACATTGTGGTACATATATGTCACAGGGGACTACAGAGCAATAAACCTAACTATTGATACGCATACCAACACAGATGAATCTCAAATGATCATGCTGAGTGAAGGAAGCCAGACACAAAAGAGTACATATTACATGATTCCCTTTATGTAACATGCTAGAAAACGCAAATCCACCTATTGGGAAAAAGCAGATCAGTGGTTTCCCAAGTCCAATGGGAAGGAAGGGACAGCCTGCAAAGGAGCACAAAGAATCTTTTGAGGGTGACGTAAATAGTCTGTATCTTAGTTGTGGTGGCAGTTTCACAGGTCTGCCTCTGTCAAAATGCATGGAATTGTACATTTTAAGGGATGCTTCTTTTCATACAAAAATTATACTCAATAATACTGATATTTTTGAAAAGATACTATTAGGAAAAAGGTGGAAAAGAACAGTAAACTTTCCTATAGACAAAAAAACTCACCAGAAAAAAATGCTGCCTTTACAAAACAGATGAAAATTGCAACCAAACATTCTACCATGTAGTTAACAACTAAAAATTGGCACTTCCCACTAAGAAGGAAGACTGGAATGACCCCATACCCCTAAAAGCTCCAGGCACAAATGGTTTCACAGAAAAATTCTCTCAAATCTTTAAAGAACAAATATTTCTAATACTATTTAAATTGTTCCAGAGCACCTAAAAGAAGAAAAATTTTCTAAATCTTTTAATAAAGTAAATATAAAATTAACACCAAAACCTAACAAATACTGTACCAAATTACAAGTAACAAAAGAAAAAACATAGATTACTTAGACTTTATCAAAATTAAAAACTTCTGTTTCAAAAGACCATCAAGAAAGTGAAAAGACAACCCACAGAATGGGAAAAAAGTTTTGAAATCATATATGTGATAAGAGACTTGTATCCAGAATATATAACGAACTTTTACAACTCAATAATAAAGACAAATAATGCAGTTTAAAAATGGGCAAAGGATCTGAATAGACATTTCTCCAAAGAAGACATACAAATGGCCAAGTACTCAACATCATTAGTCATTAGAAAGATGCAAATCAAAACCACAATGACATACCATTTCACATCCACCAGGATGGCTATAATCTATAATCAAAAAGATAGTCAAAAACAAACGTTGGCAATGACATGGAGAAATTGGAACTCTCATATACCACTGGTGGGAATGTAAAATGGTATGGTTGCTTTGGAAAAGTCGATCACTTCCTCAAAATGTTCAACATGGAGTTACCATATGACCCATCAATTCCATAGCCAACAGAAATGAAATGAATAGAAATAAAAACAAGTCTACACAAAAACTTGCACACAATGTTAGTCAGCTCGGGCTGCCATAACAAAATACCACAGACTGGGTGGCTTAAACAACAGGTATTTATTTTCCCACAGTTCTGGAGGCTAGAAGTCTGTGCGAATTCAGCAAATTCAGTTTCTGGTGAGAGCTCTCTTCTTGGTTTGCAGATGGCTGCCTTCTTACTGTGTCCTCACATGGCTGAGGATTTAGAGGATAGTGTGTCAGTCTCTGCTATAAAACCTCTCTTCTACTGTAGTAAAAAGATACAATAGTTATAAATAAGCTTTCAAAAGAGTTATGTGCACCAGGTAGTTTTTGCCTTGTTGCAAACCACTTCAAAACTTAGTGGCTTGAAGCTACTAAGCTCACTTAGCTCACAATTCTGTTGGTCAGTTACTGGGCTGGGCTTAGCTGGGGGGTGGTTCTTCTGGTCTCAGCTGGGCTCACTCACATATTTGTGGCCAGCTAACAGTAGCTAGAGGGCTCTGCTTCTGGCGGCTGGCTTCTGCTTCTCTTAGCTGGGGATATGGGGCAACTAGGCCACATGTCTCTCATTCTCTAGCAGGCTAGCCTGAGCTGGCTCATGTGGTGGCTGGACAGGGTTCCAAGACTGAGAGCAGAAGCATGCAAGGCCTCTTGAGGCCTAGGGGTAGAATTGGCACAGTGTTACCTCCCCAACATCCTTTTGATTAAAATCAACAGGCCAGGGAATGACTCCATCTCTTGAGAGAAGGAGCTGGAAAGTCACACTGCAAAGGGCATTGGTGCAGGGAGGCATGGAGAATCATGGTCATTTTTGCAATATACTACAATGTACAAAATCCGTATGTGAAACATATTAAAACACACGTGGAATACTCAAAAGAAGACTTGGAAGGGAAAGACATAGCACGTGCTTAGACAGGAAGACTCAATTTCATAAATATGTCAATTCTCCCCGAGTTAATCTATAAATGTATTATAAATATTAACAATAAGTTATTGTTAATAATAATATATTATTAGATATAATATATATTATTATACTATATATAATATAATAATAATAAATTATTATTTTAATAAATATTAACTATAAATATTAACAATTTTGCTTTCTGGAAACTTAAAAGCTGATTCTAAGTACATATCAAAAAAGAAGAAAGAATAGCAACAGAAACTGAAATAGAAGAATAATCAGAAGGGAGCAACAATTCCAGATACTAAATCATATTATAAAGCTGGAATAATTGACACAATGTGTTACTGGCTCATGAAGACTCACCAACCAATGGAACAAAAGAAAATGCCCAGAAATAGACCTAGACACACAGAAATTTAGCACATGATAGAGCTGGCATCTCAAATCAGTGAGGTAAAGACAGACTTCTAAAAAAATGATGTTAAAATGATTGGAGAGTCATCTGGAAAAAACTAAAGTTGGATATAAATGCCATGCCATGCACCTAGATAAACTCCAAATATCTTTATATGAGAAAACTGAAATCCTACAAGAACTAGATGAAAACATAGGTGAGTTCCTTCACAATCTTGGAGAGAGGAAGACCTTTTAAACTGACTCAAAATCTAGAAGCAATGAAAGAGATTGAGAAATTTCATGGCATAAAAAAACAAAAGTCCATGTATGGTAACAACAGCAACAACCCACACAAAAGTCAAAAACAAACAAAAATCTGAGAAATATATTTGCAATTCATTTAACAACAAAGAGATAATTATCCTAATATATAAAGAGTTCCCGGTAGTCTAGTGATTAAGATTTGGCACTCTCACCACCGAGGCCTCGGTTTGTTTCTTGGTCTAGGAACTACACCACCCATCCGTCAGTTGTCATACTATCGTGGCTGCGTGTTGCTGGGATGCTGAAAGCTATGCCACCCATATTTCAAATACCAGCAGGGTCACCCATGGTGGACAGGTTTCAGCAGAGCTTCCAGACTAAGACAGACTAGGAAGAAGGACCTGGTCACCCATTTCTGAAAAAATTGGTCATGAAAACCCCATGAATTGCAGTGGAGCACTGTCTGACATAGTGCTGAAAAATAAGAGGATGGTGCAAAAAGACCAGGCAGGGTTCTGCTCTGCTGTACCCAGGGTCACTAGGAGTCGGAATCGACTCTACGGCACTAGAAACAAAGGAATTTATAAAGAATTTATAAACAAAAGCAATAGATAACCAATCCCAAAGAAAAATAGGCAAACAACATGAAAAACAACTTCACAGGAAAAAAATTCAAGTAGCCCTTCAACATATGAGAAGATGCTCAACTTCATTTATAAGAGAAATGCAAAGTAAATCTACACAGAGATACCATTTTTCATCTCTCTGATTGGCAAAGGACCAAAAACTCTTTTATGACCAAACTGAATTGGCAGCCTGGTAGGAAAACAGCCACCCCCACGTATTGCTGGTGGGTGAAATCAATATAATCCCTACAAGCGGCAATTTGACCACATTTTCCAAAATTATAAATCTATTTGCTCTTTGATCCAGCAATTCTATTTCCAAAATTTATCTTACAGATAAACTGGCACATGTCTGTAATGGCATATGTAACGTAATTTACTACATCATTTTACATGGAAAACAATTCAATGTCCTTCGATAGGAGATGGTCCATCTACACAATGGAATACTAAGCATCTATAAAAAGAACACAGAAGCTCTATGTATTGACATGGAAACATAGCCAAGTTATTGCAAAATGAATAGAGCAAAGTACAGAATAGTATGTATGGTATGTATGTTTTGTGTAAGAAAGGAAGAAAATAAAAATATTCACATCTGCTTATATTTCCATTTCTATGGAACACCGGAAGGATACACAACAAACTAACTAAAGAAGTTATTTGTAGAGGAGGGCAGGAGGAGAGAAATGAGATCACAGAGAGATTAAGACTTTTCACTGTATACTTTTTGTTTCTTTTGTATTACGTACTAAGTGCATGTAATGTCTATTAACAATAAAATATTTTTTATTAAAATAACTACTTTGGAAAAGAATTTGGCAATTTCTTAAAAAGTTAAACATATACCTACCATACAACTTAGCCATTCCACTCCTGGGTATTTTACTTCCAAGAGAAATGAAAGCTTATGTACATACCAAGACTTGTATGTGAATTCCATAGCCTCTTTATTTGTAATAATGAAAAACTGGAAACAACCTAAATGTTCCTCATCAGGTGAATGGATAAACCAATTGTGGTCCATTCATACAACGGAATACTACTGAACAATAAAAAGAACAAACTACTGGTACATGTAACAACATGAATGAATCTCAACATGATTATGGTGAGTAAAAAATAAGTCAGATAAAAAAAGAGTATACAATTTTGATTCCCTTTATATAAAATTCTACAAAATGCAAACTAATATATAGTGATAGAAAACATATCAGTGGTTGCCAGGGGTTGGGGGTGGGGAAGAGGGATGGATTGCAAAGGGGAGTAAGGAAACTTTTGGGAGATGGAAATGTTTATTATCTTGACTTTGGTAATAGTTTTATGGAGGAACACATATGTCAAAACTTATCACGCTGTATACTTCATATATGTGCAGTTTATTGTATATCAACTATACCTCAATAAATTATTAAAAAAAAAAAACCTCCAAGGCTAGAAAGTGATCTGGGGATGGGGAAGGAATGAACTAGAGCTGTACATATCTGGTTTAAAAGATCTTAAAAATGTAACTTTGAGAAAAAAAGCAATACTGTATTTTGGTTATGGAGACCTTTTTTTTTTTTTTTTTTTTGGTGAGGAAGATTGGCCCTGGGCTAACATCTGTGGCCATCTTCCTCTACTTTATATGTGAGACACCTGCCAAAGCATGGCTTGATTACCAGTGTGTAGGTCTGTGCCTAGGATCCAAACCTGTGAACCCTGGGCCACCAACGCGGAGCACATGAACTTAACCACTACGCCACTGGGCTGGCCCCAAGACCTTTTTTTTTTTTCCCAAGATGTCTAGTGGAGAGGACTGAATGACTCACTGAATGGAAGAGAGTGAGGGAGAGGGAATTTAAAAATCTAAAAGAATACAAATCATATGATGTATGTTCTGACCATAAGGGAACTAAACTAGAAATCAACAACAGACAGATAGCTGGAAAATGTGGAGAATTAATCAATACATTTCCAAATAACATAAAAGTCAAAGAAGTCTCAAGGGAAATTTAAAAATATTTTGAACTAACTAAAAATACAACTTGTCAAAATTTGTGGGATGCAGCTAAAGCAGTGCTTAGAAGGAAATTTATAGTATTAAATGTATATATTGGAAAAGAAGACCTAAAATCAATAATCTAAGCTTCCACTTCAGGAAACTAGAGAAAGAAGAGCAATTTAAGTGTAAAGCAAGCAGAAGAACAGAAATAATGAAAATTAGATCACAAGTCAACGAGAATGAAAAGAGGAAAACAGTGGAGAAAATCAATGAAATAAAAGCCGAGTCTTTGAAAAGATTAATAAAATTGATAAACCTCTAGCCAAGCTAAGAAAAAAAAAGAAAAAGATAAATTACCAATATCAGAAATGATAAAAGGGTCATCCCTAGTGATGCCATAGACATCAAAGGAGAATAAAGGATATTATTATTATTATTTTTATATTTTTTTTTGTGAGGAGGACTAGCCCTGAGCTAACATCTGATGCCAATCCTCCCCTTTTTTCTTGAGGAAGAGTGGCCCTGAGCTAACATCCGTGCCCATCTTCCTCTACTTTATATGGGATGCCGCCACAGCATGGCTTCCCGAGCAGTGCATTGGTGCGCACCGGGATCCGGGCCTGCTAACCCCAGGCCGCTGAAATGGAGCGCGCGCACTTAACCGCTTGCACCACCGGGGCCCCGAGAATAAAGGAATATTATGAACAACTCTAGACCACAATTTTCATTGCTTAGATGAAATGGACCAGTTCCTTGAAAAACACAAACTACCAAAACTCAAACATAACGTGGCCTGCAGTAATAAAAAATATGAAAGCAAGATGGCTTCCAACCTCAGCTCAAAGGAGGCACGTCAGCTGAGGGGGAAAAATGGCAACACGACGTGATGAGCAGTGAGAGGAACATGAAGAGCCAGCAGGGAAGGCTTCAAAGAGGAAGTGATATCTAAAACAGACACAGAGGGACACTTCCACCAGGACCTCCCAGAGCCACCTCAAAATCAACAAATCTACAGCTGTTATGGACTGAATTTTGTCCCCCTCAAATTGTTATGTTGAAGTCCTAACCCCTAGTACCTCAGAATGGGACTGTATTTGGAGACACAGTTTTTAAAGAGGTAATTAAGTTACAAAGAGGTGACTAGGGTGGGCCCTAATCCAGGATGACTGGTGACCTTATAAGGAAAGGAGATTAGGACACAGATAACACAGACCAAGAAACACCAGGGTGAGCATGCACAGAGGGACAATCATGTGAAATGCAGCGAGAAGGCAGCCATCTGCAAGCCAAGGAGAGAAGCCTCAGAGGAAACTGACCCAGTCAGCACCTTGATCTTGGACTTTCAGACATCAAAATTGTGAGAAAATAAATTTCTATTGTTTAAACCACCAGTCTGTGGTATTTTGTTCTGGCAGTCCTACCAAGCTAATACACAACAGCTAAACTCATGATCTTTTCCCCCAAAACCAATTCTCTTCCACAGTGTACCATCCATCCTGAAGGCCAGTCAGAAACCTCACGGTCACATCTCACATTCAATTCTGCACCAAGACCTGTCAATTCTACCACCCAGCTCTCTCTCCTTCAAGACACCATCATTTCTTACCCAGATGATCCACAAAAACCTCCTCAATGGTCTCCCAACATGCACTCCGGCCACATTCCTTCTGCTCTCCCCCTGTACCCGAAGAGATCTTTCCAAAACAAAAATACAATCATGTCACATCTCCTCCTTACTCCTTATGGCCCTTCAGTGGCCAACCACAGCTTTTAGAATGAAGACAAACTATGCTCCCCAGCCATATTGGCCTTCTTCAATTCCATGAATGACCAGTGCTCTTTTTTGCCACAAGGCCTTTGCACACACTGTTTCTTCTGCCTGGAATGTTCTTTCCCTTCCATCACCTGGTTAACCTCACTCACTCAGGTCTTGGCTTAAGCACTACTTCCTCAGGGACCCTCCCTGACTCCCTCTTCCAAGTACGGGTCACATTTCTTTATAATAAGTGCTTGGAGAAGTGAGTTCCTTTCCTTCTCTTATCTGGGTTTATAAGCAAATATTCTTTTGTGAGATTCTTTGATTGATATCAGTCTCCCCCACTCAAGAGGAAACTCTGAGAGCAAGGACCATGCCTCTTTTTGGTTCCCTACCAAATCCCAGCACCCAGCACAGTGCTTGGAACAAAATAAGTCTACAATGATACCTACTGCATATATGAGAATGAATGAATGAATGAATAGAGGAGAGCCTATCGTAGGCATTGAAAAAAGATGCTGAGAGTTCTACCAAGACCACCACTCCTGCAGTTTGATGAAGCCAGAACAGTGTTGTCTATGAATGTAAAAGTTTGAGGGAGGATCCCAAAACCAACCCCTGCAACACACAACAAGCATACTAGGTACATACCCAAATTCTAGAAGGTCTCTGTCAAAGTGCACACTGTCCTCGTAGAAGACGTTCAGCTCTGCATCAACAGCAACAACTTTCACCTGGAAGGCATTTTAAAAAATGGTGTACAGAATTTTCCTCAGTGTCTACACTGGCCCAGGGGTACTAACATCACTAGGTGAAGCCCAGCACCCTAGAAGGGAGTGGTTCACCCTAGAGACCTCCTGGAAGGCTGGGGAGCATCACTGTAACCATGGCAACAGAGGCCTCATCTGGGGACATACCCAAAGATTTAGTAAAATGAAGAAGCTGAGGCTAACTAGAAACACCCATGTAGCTCAAGAAATCTTTGCCCCCTGAACAGCCAAAGTCAAGGCCCTCTAGAGATAGGTGTTCATTGATGAGCTAGTTCCTGCGTCTGGCAAGGAGGTCTGAGAAAGTCCTAAAGGGGAAGGAATTGGAGATGTCTCTTAAGGCCCACATCTGCAAGGATCTGAGACACCAGGCAAGGCCCCTGGGCTGTTCCCATAGGCCATGATCATGGTCCAGAGACTTACAGCGTCCCAATGGAACAGACCTCCAAACTCAGGGGTTTTCTGGACAGATGCGGAAACTGAGGTCTAGCAAGGCAACCTGACTTCTCCAGGGTCCCACAGGACTTTCTGGTCAGGGACTGGCTGAGGCCTGCCTCCCTTGACCCATCTGAGGAGAGGGGTTTGACTGCAGCTGTGTTGATTTCCCAAGTTCAGGAGAAGGAGCCGCTTGGCACCCACGTCCAGTTTTAAGGCAAATTTGGACTCTGTTTGCCTGTCTGCAGGGCCCTAGGAGCAGCACAGCCCAATCCTCTAGCCAGCAGTGCTGGGCACGTTGACCTGTGCACACTGGTGCAAACCAAGGATGTCACAGGGTGGAACAAAGTTCATGTGTACACTGTTGCCATTTCATTAAAAAAAAAAAAAAAAGGTTTCAAGCAGTGATCTGGTTCCAGGTCACTGGTCACGCCTGTGTGCACGTCTACCCGTCTGTCTGTTCCTCTGTCTTACAGCAGCTGAGCTCCTGCGGGTCCCTGTCACTCGGTGCCCATGACGGCGCGCGAGTACTCCAGGGCCCCCGGCCCCTCTGGGCTCTTTCCCGCCACGTGCCGCGGGATCCTGCCGGGGTGGGGTGGGGGCGCCCGCCGTTCCCGGGAGGGCAGGGGTCCAGGCGGGGTCGCGGTCGCACCTTGCGGGCGGGCGGCACTGGCAAGGCATTGCAGAGCAGGGGGCGCCGGATCCCCGGGAAACCCAAGAGAGAGGCGCGCCCGCGGTTCGGCCCCGGGTTCCCGGCGCCCGGGTCGCCGCCAGCCGGCCCGGCGTCGCGGAGGAGGCGGCCCCGGCTCGCCTGGACCCGGGGCCCGCCACGGTACCTGCTGCGTGCTGAAGTCCCAGCCCAGGCAGCAGCGGCGAGCGGCGTGTTCGGCCATGGCCGCGGAGGGTCCGGCAGCGCGTGCGTCTGTCCTTCCCGCGGCGTGACTGTCGCCGCGCTCCAACGCCCAGAGACGCTGGGGCCCGCCCCTCGCCCCGCCCGGACGGACTCCTGGACCCGAGGCACAGGCGGGCTCCGGCTCTGGCGCCGCCTGCCGGGGGACCGGGGTGGGGACGCACGTCTGGCCTCGGCCTCGGCCCCGAACCTTTAAAAGACGGGGACCCCCTGCGCAGCCCGCTCCCTCCCAACCTCACCCTACGCTTGCTCCCCATCCTCATGTTCTCTCTGGACAGGCCTTGCCCTAAGGCGGCCTGGCTTCCCTCAAATGACACCTGGGCCACAGGTTTCAGCTTTAAGCCGGCTTGTCCCTGCTTGTCTCTCTGGTGGCTCTGGGCCTAGAGACCCCCATGGCTGTCTCTTGGATACTGGAGCAGCTGTCCACTCATGGTGGTGACTCGGGGCTCACAGGGAAATGTGCCTTGGGGTTGGATAGGGCTCCAATAGGCCCTGTCTTGACCCAGCAAATCTGAGTGGTTCCCCAGCTCTGCCATGTGCCACATTCCACCTCTGTATTTAGAATCAGAACTCCTGATGCCCCACGGAGGGGCTCATTCGTTCCTGCAGTCAACCAGTGTTGATGGTCTAATGTGTGCCAGGCACAGGGAACGGGGATGAGAGCCAAAATCAGAACCACTCCCTTTCTTCACAGAGCTGAGGACACTTTCTCTTCCCCTCCTTCCACCCAGTCATGTCCTTCTTGTCCCTAGGACTGACTTCTTCCTGGAAGCCCTCCTAACACCCATCTAGCTGAGATGCTTCTCCCAGGAGCTTCCCGGCCCATCAGAGCCCCTGATGCAATGGTCTGATTACGTGTCTCTCTCTTGCTGAACTTGAGCTGCTTGGAGCCCAGGTCCTCCTCTTGGCCCCAGGTCCGGAGATCAATAGCAGAGCTGGGCCCATAGCCAGTAAATTTGACTCCAGAATCCACGTTTAACTGCTAAACAAGACAATTTGCTGGGCAGCCTTGTGAGAAGGCCCGTGGCAATACAGAAATGTCTCCTGAAGGCCAAGGCCACTGGCTGTTTCTCAAGCTGCCTCACAGGGAGGCCTTGTCTTGTTCAGGGGTGCCTTTCTCTATTGGCTGTGGCACCAACCCCATTCTGGTAACTCATCCTTTCTTTTGATGTAACAGCCGTTTCACAGGGAAGACTGGAGGTCTGAAAGCCCATTTACCTACATCAGGAGACTGCACATCCATAGTTCGATCCGTTAGCAAGGAATGAAGACAGAAATCTTAATTCCAAGTTGTCGCTGCCTCTCATGTTGTCCTCTCTGTTGACACTCTGAAAAGGTGTACCCAGAAGCAGAGGGGTTTCTGGGAAACCCTCAGGAAGTGCTGGTGCGTGGCCTGAGGCTGATCCTTTGCTTATTATGCTCAGAGCTGAACTCGAACCTGCCTCCCTGCACAGAATCTGTTCACGAACCCCTGCACTGACTTGGAAACAAAGCAGAACTGCCCTGGAGGTGTCTCTTCACAGTGACCAGGATGCCCACAGTCCCTAGCAAGGCTCCTTCCCTTATCCAGGCCCTAACTGATACCCCAATCTGAAGGCAAGATGGCCCACAGAAGAGGAGTCACGTGATCATATTTGCATATTAGGAAGCTGGCTCAGGATGCTGTGTGGAGAATGTGGGCAAAGGGGAGGAAGGGAAAATGGATTAGAATGTGGTTGCAGGAGGCCTGAAGTAGGGCACAGGTGCTGAGGACGGGGAGAAATAGATGGATTCAAGAGATATTTAGGAGGCTCTGGGGACCTCGTGGACTGAGAGAGCGAGGAGTCAAAGGTAATGCTTTCTGGTTTAGGTGACCTGGTTGGTTAACCGTTGATGCATAACAAAACACCCCTAAACTTGGTGGCTTAGACAACGATCTTTTATTGTCCCTCACATGTCAGCAGGTCAGATGGGGGTCAGCTGATCTAGGCTAGGCTCAGTTAGAGTGGCTCTGCTCCACGTGTTTCTCATCCTGGTATTCCTGGGACCAACAGGGTACTCCAGGCATGCTTCTTCTCATGAAAGCAGCAGAGCAGACGAGGGCAAGGGCAAACACGTGAGGCTCTGAAGGTCTAGGCTTGGAACTGACATACTGCACTTCTGCTTCTATGCCACTGGCCAAAGTCTCATGACCAGCCCAAAGTCAAGTAGTGGGGATGAGGCCATGGAAGGATGTGGATGCACGAGGGGTGAAGAATTGGGACCACCATTGCAATCTACACAGGCCACTACCAGATGGAGGGTGGTTCCATTCTCTGGGTTAGGAAACATGGGAGCAGAAGAAGACCTGGGGGGAAGATGATGAGCTTGTCAGGACGTGGTAGGTTTGCAGTGTCTGTGGGATGTCTGAGTGGAGAAGTTGAACAGGCAGTTGCAGACGTGGCCTCCAGCTCAGGAAGGAGGTCTAGGCTGAAGACAGTATTTGGGAGTTATCAGTTGCCAATGCGAGTAGGCTAGAATGTGCAGAAATGACTCAGAGTGGGACAGATGGAGACCCCCAAAGGGAACTGCAAAGGATAAGTCAAAGACGCAGGGAGAGACCATGAGAGAGGGGTGTGGTGGAAGCCAGTGGAAGAACCTGCCTGGGAGGTGGGGCTCAACAGTGTCAAATGCTGCATGGAAACCTGTCCTTCAGTTTACCATTGAGGAGGCAGGTCACTGAACCCTCAGCAAGAGCGGACTTGGTGGAGCCCCACAGGCCTTAGTTTTTAAGTACTTTTTTCATTCACCACTGTTTTTACAGTTTATTCATATTATTATATGTATATCTAATTCTGTGGTTCCAAAACTGTGCACGAAGGTGCTCTGGGAAGCTGCAGGGAACCCATATGGGTGCAGCAGGTTATCTTTACTTTTCTAGGGAAACACGGTGATACTCAACATCTGTCAGGCACCACGTGAACTGCTAACTTAAGGTAGTTCACAGTTCCAATGTTACACTGTGCTACATTCCTTTCTATGATATAACATCATATCTTTGCAAATCTGCATTTTCAGCAGTCACGGTGGTAAGCAAGTACTGTAGGAAAATCAAGGTGAAACAGAATAAGAACGGCAGTGTCCAACCTGATCCCAGCATTTGAGAAGTTGTTCAGTGCTCAACAGGCACACACATCCTCTTAGTAATTCTGGTTATTTAAGAAAGAAATGAAATATTTTATCCTCCAATTTATGTGTATTGTTTTCTTCAAACAACTACTGAGTTGTTAAGACATAAATATATAGTAAGCTGCTTGATCCTAACCACTTAGTAAACAGGACTGTTAGCCGTTTCTTTTGGCCTAGGAGCACTGTGAAAAATTGTTGAGAGTCTAAGGGTGCCGTGATATGCGAACATTTGGGAACTCCTGATCTAGTTGGTTGCTTCTAACTCTCCATCATATTCATTGGTGTGCTGGACCCACATTTTACTGTCCAGGCTGCCCCTGAGGGACACCCGAGTGGACTCCAGTTCCCCACTAATGCAAACAGCACTGCACGGAATGTCCTCATCCATGGCTTTATGGACCTGTGTGAGGGAATTTTTCTGGGTTTTACATTCAAGAGTAGGTTTACACTACATGTGCATAACTAGTTTGATCAGAGTGCCGGATTACTCCTGAGGATGGCTGTCCTGTCTACACTCTGACCTGGAACGCACAAGGGTACCTCTATCCCCACATCCTATATACAGTACTCAACATTTCCATCCTTTTAATTTTTGCCAGTCTAATAGGGGACGAGTGATTTCTCTTTCTTGTTTCAATGTGCATTTCTCTCATTATTGGTGAATTGGAGCATCTCTTCATGTAGCCATTTGGGATTTCTCATTCAGTGAATTCCTTTCTTATGTCCTTTGCCCATTTTTCAGTTGGGAATTTTTGTCTTTTTCTTATGGATTTGCAGGAATTTCTTATAGTTCAAAGTATAAGTTCCCTGTCGGTTTTAGTTGTTGAAAATATCTTCTCCCAATATGTCATTTATCTGCTAACTTTGTCCAACTTGCCCTTTGTGGACTGAAATCTTGAATTTGAATATGACAAATTCCATCAGTTTTTCTCCTTATTGTCTAAGCTTTTTGATCTTGTTTGTGTTTCCCACTCCCAGGCCGCAAAGCTATTATTTGACATTTTCTACAAAGATATTAGCGTACATTTCTTCTATTAGCAGGGTCTTTGATGGAATCATTTTCTTCTTTGAATTGGGTGTTTGTCAGCTGAATAAATTACATCAAGACACAGAAGTCAGTGAAAACTAATCCATCCAAGGGTAAGCACTAGATGTAAGCTTTTAAAAGAAAAAACTTTTCATTTAGTAAATATAATAATGAAAACTTACTGTAAAATAGGAAAATGGAGACAAACAAAAATTCAGTTCTTATACTCTGCTCTCCAGTGAAACACCACCAAAATATCTCTTCATTCTTTGAAGTTTGCAGCCCCAACATGGATTTTTCTCAAAGTAAACATGGATTTTTCCCAAAATAAACCTTTTTCTTTGAGAAAAGTCCTGAAGAAAATATGCTTTCTTCATAAAGATGCATTGTTTTTAAATTCCAGTGTGTTATATTCTGTTCATGTAAAAACAGCAGACTTGTTTTTATCCCACTCAGCCTAAAGGTGTGTTCATTAGTACTGATAACTATTGAAGCCACCCAGGCTTATATATTTTTTTCTAAGTGAGTAGTTTTAAGAGTGAAACATTAGGGGGCTGGCCTGGTGGCACAAGCAGTTAAGCGCGCGCACTCCACTGTGGCCACCCGGGGTATGCCAATTCGGATCCGGTCGCGCACCGACGCACCTCTTGTCAGGCCATGCTGTGGCAGTGTCCCATATAAAGTGGAGGAATACGGGCATGGATGTTAGCCCAGAGCCAGTCTTCCTCAGCAAAAAAGAGAAGGATTGGCATTGGATGTTAGCTCAGGGCTGGTCCTCCTCACAAAAAAAAAGAGTGAAAAGTTAGGAATATATTGGTAGGGGCCGGCCCCATGGCTTAGCAGTTAAGTGCATGTGCTCCACTACTGGCA